TCACAGATTGCTTTATTGCAATCCTCGTTGTCCCTTTCAGTTTTGGTTGCAGCTTCAGGTATAGGTATTCCCAAGAATCGTAGCGTATTCTTGCGCGAATATTGTGCATTGTGGTTCACGTCACTTGTTAGAGCGTTCAGCCTCTCCGTTAGCACGTTAACTTCAGTTTTTAGCTTCTGGTTTTGTAATTCAACCTTTGAAAGTCTGTCGTTTGTCTTCTCAAACGCCTTTGAGACGACCCTATCTATCATCTTTTCGATTTTTACCTCATTGTGTTTCAATAGTTTGCTCATATAGGACTCCATCCATTCCTGTGTCACGGGAGTCAGTTTGGGGTGGGATTTGGGAGTGTCCACAGACATTTCGCTAGCCTGAATGTCGCCAATGGTGTCCTCGAACGGTTCACCCTCGGTTTCATCATATTCATGATCGTCCTCTTGGTCACTAAAGCGTCCTGATGACACTCGGCCTTCTTTTGTATCCTTTAATCGTCTTTTTACTGGACTTTGAATTTCTGTAACTTCAATGTTCACAAAGTAAACATAACACTTGGCGAACAAAAAGTTAAAGCATTCCATTTTCTATATAACATTTTTGCTGAAGCATTTACTGAATAGATATCCATTCACTATAAGTATACTTTTTACGTCTTGATAAAGCTGTTGGATACCAATGACAAAAGTTACCCGACTTTTTGTGACTATGAGTCTAAGAAAGCATTCTTGAGATTAAAATTGATAATAGATAATCCATTTTGATATTCAATTTTTGGGCAATTAAAAATCCCTGCCTGTATTTAGTAAGCTGAATACCAATGCCAAAGTAGATACTCCCCTCCATAAGTTTGGCAGCCTAAGCTCCCGCATTGAACTACGTGTTAAAGCCTCATTACGTTTGAATTTGTATTTACTTAACCGGCGATGAAATAACTTATAATATTGATGGAAACGTAACTTGACTTATTTCCAATACCTCCAAATTTTCTCAATTTTTTCCTCAATTACAATAAGTCAAAAATTGATGATTTCATAAATTTTTGAAAATCGTCATTCCCATACAATCCAATGGGAAATGGAGGGTTCGGAGCAAATCAGAAATCAGGATATCTTTTCAGTAAAAGATTCAGCAAAAAATATTTTATATAGAAAATTAAATTGCCTAGCCTTTTTGTACACTAAGTGTTTAGTTTATTTGATGAATACTAAAGTTACAGCGCTTCAAAGTCATTTTTGAAAATACCTTTGCGCCTCCTGCCTGTGTTATTTCGATGTGAGAGTTTGTTTTTTTTGAAGAACAATTTGACTTTAAAGCCCTATAACCTCGTTGAACCTGAAGACACATACAATTACTATTAAATGAAGTCAGCAAATTCAATTGCCTGCCTAACTCGTATTTTTGCAAGGACTCGGATGAATGGATATTCTGTCATATGAACTGCGGCAAACCTACCATTTCCCATTGGTTAACATGGGAATGTCGATTTTCATAATTCATCAAATTTATCATCAATTTTTGACTAAGGTTGCAAAACTTATGGAGGGGAGTGTACAACGAGTACTTGGGCTAATAGCAGCGTCAACATTGATTAGCTAATTATTCCATGAACAGGAGACAATTTAGATATTTTCCAAGTTCAATTCATCTATTTCTCTTTTCAGTTTTTTTAGACATATACAAAGGCCGATGCAGAAGTTCTGATAAAAATGATGTATCTTTTTCTTAAGAAGACGAGATCACTTGGAATTTTTACACAAATTGCACTATTTATATTTATTGATAGAACTTTCTGTAATCACACTTTTCCTACCCCATGGTAGGGGCACTTGGTCCAGGATTTGAGCTCATATTGACATCATAACTCATATTGAAAATCTGAAAAACTTAATCCAACTGTGCAATCATATTTGAGGTAAAACTCAACAAAGATACTCAAATAATTGTCCTTCGGCATTAATACACTACATTAATACACCCTGATATCTATCCATCCACTGTTTGTATACACCTTTTCAGTTCTGGTGAGATGTCAACAGCATTCTTGATTTAAACAAATGTTCTTAAATATGAGACTCTCGGATCCCCCTCTGTATGACCGGTCCAAAGTCCAAACAGGGGTCCAAACAAAGTCCAGGGGAATTATCTGGAAACTATGGAGAATGCCCTAATATCCTTCGGCCCTAAAACATACATATCAAACTTGTTGCTGATGATATTGCAGATTATGCCAGATTTGTGACATGATGTGTTGTCTGAGGCAAACATGATTGAATCTATGGCTCTGTTCGGTCGCTTTTTTCTGAATTGCTTTACGTAGATGAACTGAAAGCGTTGTGTCTCATGTCTTGTCTAATAATGTATCATGCAGCGTTCATGTTTTCTGTATCAAACAGAATTTATAATAATTTCACACTAATGAGAAGAGGACATTAACAGCAGTTATTGTTAAAACAGACATTTGTAGAATTACGTAACCTTGTAATGGGGTTTCGATCATTTGTTCAAAGAAATCCAATTTTAAACTTCACAAATCTTACCCTATCCCGCTATAGTGTAATTGAGGTAACCATAGCAAACATAACTTCAGAAATATTCATTACCAGCATCATCATTTTTATATCCTATGGGGGAATAAATGACTCTCAAAATTTTGTGGAAACCGGATGATAAACTAATTTAAAGCATTTTTATGAGAACTTCTGGATCGATCTACTAATACTGACATGAAAAAAGACAACCCGTGTGGTTTTCCAAAGTATGGACTTTGAAGAGTAAAGCATCACTATTTTCAACATGACGCTTTACCTAAAAAACACATTCTTCGTTTATAAAATACCATAACGTCAACGACTTAAATATTTTAACATTCGGCTTTTTAACAAACATTCATACCATTCTTGGTACTTCGCTTAAAACTCATGTAACAAAGGTGGTGAATGTTTTTCTTGTTAGAAGAATTACGTGAATGGTTACCTATGTTTATTCTCTGAACTATTTAATTAAATTAATTTCTTCAAATTCTAATTAATAATTCAGAAGATAGTGTCATTGTTTAATTGTTACGCGTTATTTGCTCAATGATACTACACATGTTCATCGAGCAGAAGCAGCATTCTGCGTGGATATTCCCGGGGGAATTCATATAAGTTTAAGTGGATATGTACTGCACTACGACTATGCAATTATTGGGCAAACACCACAAGTTTATGACAAATGTTGCCTACATCACCATTTATATGTGTCACCATAGTTCGTATTATACAGGCATAATATCCAATATTACTTTGAGTTGCCAAGTATCATGTCTCAGCTCATAAATGGGAAAAAGTTACAGCCGTCTCCAAACCGAGGCCGATGAGTACAAATGGTCCAAGGAAATTTAAAATGTCTTACAAAGTTTATACGAGGATCATAATTAAAATGCACATTCCAAATCCAAGCGCGCGTAAGGTCATTTCTGAGAATAACTGCTGCCGATTGTCTAGGGAGACACATTGACTATTATTTTATTGTATTAATTTAGTGTTAAACTAAACTTTAATTTTGGCAAAATACTACATTTTAAAATACATTTAACTTTAACATTTGTGAATTATGTACCTTTTGGTAAACTTATAAATGATATATCACACAGACTATGGATACATCCGTATATGTATGCCTAGGAGGTCCTTTATGGAATCCGAAATCGCCGAAATGGTAAAATCAGTGCCCAGAATTAGCCGCACGTTCACGAAGAGAGAACCAACACGGCTAGTGTGACACCTGCTTTACATATGTCGAACTCCGGCCGCCGACAGCCAAATGGCGACCACACATCAAAGTTCGAGATATTTACAACATGTTACCACTTCTGGTTCTTAATAATCAACATACCTCGGCCACATTTGATCCTAAACAAAGTGTGTGCAAACTCAAAGTGTATGAAATCGTATGGATTATGTATGTATTCTGCTAGTCGCGATTCAATGTGTTATAGGTATCACATAAATATAATTTTCGATAGAAAATCATAATTCACATACCAAATGAGACTTGAGATTGTTATTTAGCCATTGATCATGAATTATACACTTTTACTTGAATAAAATATGTCACCAGCGTCTCACTTAAACATGTGGTGTGCAATGAGAAATAAGCATAATTTGCATAATGTTCCTAAACTGATACGCCCTGATGACCGCAAGCTAATAGCCCTAATCCAAACCCAAGTGAGTATAGGGTATGGGGAGGTCTCCAGGAGATGGTATGAGGGCACCCAATCTAAAAAATTGCTTAACTAAAGCTGGCAATTAAGACACGTTGAAAGAAATATAGCGAGCATCATTGATACTGCTATATCAGCAAGGCGACTAAAACTAAAATCTATCATCAAATGAGGTGGCGGACCAATTGAACTCCTCTTTTTAGATCAAATATAATCCCAGTTGAAGGACTTGTTACATTAGATTATTACTAAGAACCCTTGGCACTTTATAACTGCAAAATTTGGGGTATGTAGGTTGGAAAATAAAAAAGTTATAGTGTCTTGAAAAAAGTGGCGTTTTTTGGCCCACCCTGTACAATAAACAAAATTTAATAGTCTCACTAAAAAGAGTAGTACGTGTATTGACAAATATTCGTATGCGTATCATTACATCATTTTACTTAACATGAGGCAAAAGCTGCCCAATGATCAAGTTATCATATGAAGAATGACAATTTAATGTTTGGTTACGATATAGATGATGCTTTATATGCCATTGCCTCGCTAAAACGTTTGAATTGTTGCCGCATAGTCGAACGTGCACTAATCATATTTTCCAGTCAGCATCTTGCCGAGAATATTTCCAGAGTAGATGATACTTTATATGCCCTTTCCTCGCTAAAACATTTGAATTATTGTATAGTCTAACGTGCATTAATCATATTTTCCAGTCAGCATCTTGCCGAGAATATTTCAAGAGTAGATGATACTTTATATGCCCTTTCCTCGCTAAAACATTTGAATAGTCTAACGTGCATTAATCATATTTTCCAGTCAGCATCTTGCCGAGAATATTTCCAGGAGAGTTAATATCAGTCGAGTGTAAAAACTGTATGGAACACAAATTCCAGTAGTCACGATCCATAGCAATACGTCCACCCTGAAAATTATACGTATTTTTTATTTTTTATAAAATTATGAAAATTATACGTATGTTATTGCAAAATTGAATCTATTAAAAACACAAAAAAATCGATACTTTACTTACATATGTCATCTCGTTGAAGCATTTCTCAATGACGTCATCTGGAATTTTGAATGGCCGATAAGCCGACACGAATGCGTCTTCCGTTATCAACCCATCGCCTATAACAAAAAATATTGTTAATGTTTCAAAAATGAATAACGTGCAAATTACACTGGAAAATCAACCCCCTATGGACAAATATCAATTGCTTTTACATAATCTATCACTTCTCATTCTATCAATTTAGAAAAGTAAGATCTTAGTTACGAGTTACTAGATACAATATTGTTATAAAAACAACTGGAAATGCATTGCTCCTTTTATTCACATTCAATATTTCAGTACGAAATTAGATGGATTAAAGGCAGTACCCCCTCAAACTTACCGTTTCCAAGACTATCAATCACATCAAAGTAGAGATCAAAGTAACTTCCATACCAATATGGTATCTTCATGGTCTTGGCTTTAATTTCCCTGCACATGTACTCCATAAAATTAAGATACTCGTCAACTGTTACCTTCGAAAGTCAACGAGATATGTTAAGAGAGTGGTCATATTTTTGCAGATTCGCTGCTCCAGGTTTACGTATATTAATGACATTTGTTTCACTCCAGAAAGCCATTGTTATGTTTCAATATTGCACAAAATAAGATGGACTAAAATGCATACATAACGTGTATAATAAACATAGTGTGTAAGCATGTCACGCATGAACTTCCTAAACAAGAATTCTCTGCATTTAAATGAATCATGAATTTATTAATTAACCATAGGATTTTCTGTAATAAATAATGAATTAACAACCTTATTATTAAAGTTAGTATCTGCACCGCGTTTTAACTCTCTCCACAGGCCTCTCATGACGTCATTACATCGTTGCCACTTAGGACTGCCCTCTGCCCACTTAGTTAAGGCTATGATATTCTAAAATATAACTTCAATTCATTATATGACATGTACAATTTGGCGATAACATTTATTGCGTGTTTAGATTATTTTCATTTCCTGCCACTCATCTATGTTTCCTAAGTGACATCCATACATTCAAGTAAATTTCATGTTAAAGGATTGGGTGAAATACATATTTAAGTGAAACCAACCAGAACGTACAGCCTCGGGAAATGGGTTGGGTGGGAGGGTAACTTATTTTTCAATCATTTCCCAATTTCATGATATTTCATCCAAATTCCATGATATGTAAACTATTATCGATTCCATTCGCTAATGACTACCTCCCTCGAATTCCCTATTTAGAATAAGCATTCACTCTACTCAATAATATAGATGTCACTTAGGAAATCTATGTTTCCTAAGTGACATCCATACATTCAAGTAGATTTCATGTTAAAGGATTGGGTGAAATACACATTTAATTTTACCCTATACGGTGTATTTACATCCTGAATAATGTGATTTGTTAATTTTTACTACTCCCAATCCTCAAATCTTTAATAAAAAATTAACAAAAAACTAACGTGGACATCGGATTTGAGAGCAATCTCTCCCAGTAGTTCTAGTAGATGGTTTTCCATGATGTAATTATGAAGCTAATAAAACCTAAAATTGACCTCATATCAATGTTTCATTCATGAATTACTGGTGGGGAAAAATCAGTCCCCTAACATGAGTAATTAACCTCAATTGCCAATTACCTCCTACTGTGGAGAGACAACTCTCACATCCGAAGTCCACGTGGTTAAAACCACTAAGAGATCAGTGCTCCCGGACTTTAGATGTAAAGAGAAGCCAATTGTTTATCAGACTTCACTAGTTTCAAATGTTACAAACTCAAGTCATTTTCAAATTAGTTTACAAGAGGGTACATGGAATTAAACCATTACATAACCAATCACTTGCATAGGTTATCCAGTCATGTCAAAACAATTCAACCTACTGTCTATTGAGTAAACCCCAGTTTTCATTCAGTTGCCAATTACTAGATTATACCTGAGTGTCATTATTTTTGTCACACTGTACTATAACGTACTGTATAATGACCTCTAATTTTACTGTGTTATTAACACATTGAATTTCCAGTGTTCATTATAAGGCCATGTTATCAAGATTTTTCATGTCATCAATGTTCTATTTTTCTTTGTTTCTGTCAAATATTTGCCTCTCAGAAAACTTCTCTTATATTGTCTCATAGTTATATTCAATAGCCCCTTGCTCTGGCATATATCTCTGTATCTCTAGGCTCTCAAGGCCTTTTATTCATTACCCCTCATGGTTCATATTTTTTGCCCCCTGCTTGCACATATATTTTCAGGCCCTTGGAGCCTTTTATTTTAGCCCCTTGCTCGGGCGCCCCTTGCTCGGGCATTTATATCTAGGCCCTCAAAGCCTTTTATTTTAGCCCCTTGCTCGGGCATTTATATCTAGGCCCTCAAAGCCTTTTACTTTTAGCCCCTTGCTCGGGCATTTATATCTCTATGCCCTCAAATCCTTTTAATCTCTAGGCCCTCAAAGCCTTTTATTTTAGCCCCTTGCTCGGGCATTATATCTCTAGGCCCTCAAAGCCTTTTATTTTAGCCCCTTGCTCGGGCGCCCCTTGCTCGGGCATGTAAATCAAAATATGCTTACCACTGCTGAATGTACGTCTGGCCACTTCGAATTCCCTATTTAGAATAAACATTCACTCTACTCAATAATATAGATGTCACTTAGGAAACTAACCATTTTTGTCCCTCTTTTTCGATCTTTCGTTCTTTCATACTAGCTTCTTGTCCAACTCACTCCCTATTTCCTGATTTTAAAAATGAATGATATCTACAGGAAGATCAACACAGAGGAAGTGGTCATTTGTTAACTACACCAAGATTTTTATAGAGGATGTGAGTATTTGTGACCTTCACCTAAATACGGGAACGCTGACTTTCATTTGTAAACTTCAAGAGACTTAGATAAGGAACGCGGATATTTGTAAACTTAGCAAATACTAAAAATAAAGGATCAGAACATGTGATCGACACCGAAATTTGAAGTAAATTATAAGCATTCAATATTTGAAAAGTGTGCCCATGGCTCAAAAATACACATGTTTGAGCAAAATAAAAATACATTTTCATCATGAACTTTGCCCTAAATCAATTACCTTAGCATGTTGATGGAAATCCTCTTTTTCAACAAATCCATATCCGTCTTGGTCTACAATTAGTAATAAAATCTGAGACTTATATTTCTGAGAAATAATAATTAGCGAGATCAATAATGCAAAAACAGTTCATTCATGGAACGAAGCGTGATTCTTTCCAGATGTCACCAGGACACCATTCCCTTTGATTTTTGTGGTTCACTAGAATGACCGAAAAATTGCAAATACCCTCTCACATCAAATCCTTGGGAGGGGGACCGAAGAATTATTTTTTGTTGAATTTTTTTAATATTATCTTACTTCATTTTTTAGCATTTTATTTTCAGTGTTTAAAACAATTTTCAAGATTTCGAGTGTGTTATGTTTACGGTTACGACAGAAGATCGCTCGGGCACCGACAATTTGACTATCGAAGCCACTTACCGAACCAGACATTAAACTGATGTCGATGTTTTTCCTCCCAGAACTCAGTGCGTTCAAATTCAGTTTCACAGCATGTTAGCTTTACCAGCATTTCTCCAAAAATGTTTCCAGGATTTTCTTTACCCATGGATACATTGAACCCAACCGTCATTTCTCGGAAAAGGTTGATGTCAAACTTTCGTTCCCCATTCTAAAAGAAAATGTGTTTTGTCAATTTGTTTACTTTTTTTGTTTGCTCATTTGATTTGTTATGACAGCAAATCAAAATTTATGTGTCCAATTAAAATTTTCAAAACCGATTGTTCGTTCTTGGTGGTATCATCAATTTTAGACTTGTGAATTAAAAGGCAGAATGCAAACAAAGTTAATTTCAATATGCAACCTAAGAGATGAATAATCAAAACGACTTAAGATATAGTTCAATGGGGACATACAGTATGTTGCTGTGGTCTAGAAGTAGAAACGATATAGGTGGAAATGCTTATACGAGGGGTGATTCAAAAGTAATGGACAAAATGTTATAGGTATGCTTACTCTCACTCAATCTGCTTGAAAGTTGTTATATATGAAGCATAAGTTGTGAAAAGTGTATCATATAAACAGAAATACATTTCAGGATTTGGCACATCCCCCGCATTTGGGTGCTTATACTCGAAATTGACTTCTTGGCTTATTGACATCTTACCTTTGCCGCAACCATACTCTGAAATAAAGAATATATGTCGAATTAAAACTAATTTTAAATAGGTTCAATCATTGGCCCAATCATTAACCGTTATTCTAGGATGGATGTTTTTAAATTTCAACTGAATTATTAAGGAAATCGACATAGACATGGGTTTTAATTAGTACTATTATAATTTTAGCTGTATGAACAGAATTATGCTTTGATGCCAGAATTGGGCAGGTTGTACAATATAACCATAAACCAATACCAATAAAACTAAACTAATTGTAAGCATGCATTAAAGCAATGTATAAAGTGTATGATCATGTCCAGAAACACTACTAGGAGAATCCCCGTGTGCACACCGTGGTCTCATGTAGTGTAGCACTGCTGCATTCTTCATTTTATGGCCATGGAGCCCAATAATCTGGCGCTTTAATCGCATGGACCATCTAGTCCCTGATCTGGACCCTCTGAAAAAAAGTTTTGTTGTCCGGTACTTTCCCACATAAATTGATTGTACCGTTTGAAAGAACAGACTTCCCTCTTAAAGAAAACACCTCTTCTATTGATGTAAACAGGGGCAAAAGGCACCAAAACGGGGTTAGACAAGGTGGCATTCTGAAGTCTCACTTTCTTGTCATCACGATTCCAGGTAAACCATTAGACGGATTTACTTCAAATTTTCACACATGTTACGGCGGCCATCTTGCATTCTGGCGGCCATCTTGGAATTTTTCTCAGATAAATATTGTCATCGCGATTCCACAAAAACCACATAACAGATGTACTTCAGATGTTCACACATGTTACATGGTAAAAAGTCCTAGACCTCATTATTTTTTCGGTGGCCATCTTGCATTCTGGCAGCCATCTTGGAAGTTTTAAGATAAATCTTGTCATCACGATTTCAGGAAATCCAAACGGATTTACTTCAAATTTCCACACATGTTACATGGTAAGAAAATATAGAGGTGAATAACTTTTCTGCAGCCATCTTGCATTCTGGCGGCCATCTTGGATATTTTGGGATAAATCTTGTCATTGTAATTCCAGGAAAACAACCTAACAGATTAACTTCAAATTTTCATCTATTGTTACATGGTATGAAGTTCTAGAGCTGATTAACTTTTCAGTGGCCATCTTGCATTCCGGCAGCCATTTTGGAAGGTTTATAGATAAATCTTGTAATCACGATTCCAGAAAAACCACTTCACAGTTTTACTTCGAATTTTCACACATGTTACATGGTATGATGTTCTAGAGCTGACTAACTTTTCGGTGGCCATGTTGCATTCCGTCGGCCATCTTGGACGTTTTTAGATAAATCTTGTCATCACGATTCCATAATTTATTTGATTTTATATAACATGAAATTATTTTTTCTTTTCGATAAAACATTGCTTATTAGAAATATATTTAGTTGAAAACTTAGAGTAAACAATCAGTTCTTCTATCACAAAGTTTATTTTGGTTCAGTAGATTTTCCTATACATTATTTTTATGTCACCACCACTAGTGATTGGGTGACATATTGTAATAGCATCGAACGTTTATCTTGACACTGTTCAGTAGTTAAGGTGTACTGTATACTTAACAAGGTGTGGTGACATTTTGCATGTTTCTGCATCGTCACTACTATTGAAAGCTTATGTTGATATTGTAGCAGTGTTTTTTAAGTTCTTTTTGTTGGTACAATTAGTTTCCAAACCCTATACTTATATCGATCTGACACACAGTTTTAGTGCAGGTTTAAAGTAGAGGTCTTGGGTTCAAACCCAGGTCACAGCACTTCTTGTGATTTGTCTTTGACCTATGACTGCTGACCTATACTGGCGATTACTAGAGTGCTGCTAACTCGATAAAAGGCTGGCGCTGGCTAGAATTGTCTATGGTTCTAGCCAGGATAAAGATACCAGTTCTTCAACTCGACAATGGGAAGAACTGCTCTACCTAAGTGACTAATATGTCATGATATGACATCTAAAGAGTCGATAAAAGATATATATTAAGTGATTTTTGTTGATTATTAAACGCAAATAGCACAATAATTAATGTGTCTTGAACTCGCAACATTGTGGATACAGAGCCCATTCACATAGTTTGACATGCTGGTGCTCTGAACCAGCTCGTTAGTTAATATCTGACTAAGAGACAGCTTGCTTTCCCGATGAAGAAACGTTATCTGCAGCTTTTATGAGTACTATAGTATCTCTATTTTTGATCTTATGAGTATTGGATATCATTATTTTCAATTTTTCTTCAACATGTATTCTAATGACTTCAGTATGAATGGAATGTCCCTCGGAGTTGTGGTCATTGATGAGGAATTGGTCATTGAACGGTGTGGATGCTGTTTATTCCCATATTAGATTATTGTCTTGGGATATTCAGGTTTGATTTTTGTTTGCCAGTTTTACACTTTACAGTTTGCTTTTCCCACTAGGTTGCTTTACACTTTTTTCCTTTCTCATTTGTCATTTTTGTTTATATTTAGTAAGGATATGATACGCAGGTCTCTCCTTCTGTGTGATCACCTGTCCAGAAGATAATTCAACTGCATGAAGAACATTTCGTTGACATGATGCACAGTGAAAGGTTTTCCACACATTTACATTTTCGTTTAAAAGATCTTTAATTCCGTTATATATTCAGATCAAGGCCAATTTAGCATACATTTCTCTCAAAAATCGCTGTGCAATAATGGATTTCAAAGAAATGTTTGACGTTTTCAATAATCTTTTTTCTTTTTGATGAAATGTAGTTATTTATTCTAAAAATCAATCGATGTCATACACAAAATGCATTTAAGTGATATTAAGTACAGAAGCAGAGTAAAAATATGTATTTTAGAATATCACCATGTGTTACCCCTCTTGTAGCGCTTCTTGCCCATGTTTCTATCAATATAAAACATGATATCATACACCAAATATGCATTTATGTCAAATTATGTGGTTTAAAATACAGAAAAATAGATTACATTCTCCTTAGAATACCACCTTGTGTAACCCCACTTTACTGCCTTTTGCCCCTGTTTATATCAATTTAAAAGGTAGCATGTAACCTTCCTTGTAACATGTGTAAAAGTTTCAAGAAAATCAGTAAAGTGGTTTTCCTGGAATCACAATGACAAGATTTATCAAAAAAAACTTCCAAGATGGCCGCCAGAATGCAAGATGGCCACCGAAAGGTTAATTAGCTCTAGAACTTCTTACCATGTAATATGTGTGAAAATTTGAAGTAAATCCGTTTGGTTTTCCTGAAATCGTGATGACAAGATTTATCTTTAAACTTCCAAGATGGCTGCCAGAATGCAAGATGGCCACCGAAAAAATAATGAGGTCTAGAACTTTTTACCATGTTACATGTGTGAACATTTGAAGTACATCTGTTATGTGGTTTTTATGGAATCGCGATGACAATAATTATCTGAAAAAAAATCCAAGATGGCCGCCAGAATGCAAGATGGCCGCCGCAAAGTTAATCAGCTCTAGAACTTCTTACCATGTAACATGTGTGAAAATTTGAAGTAAATCCGTCTAATGGTTTACCTGGAATCGTGATGACAAGAAAGTGAGACTTCAGAATGCCACCTTGTCTAACCCCGTTTTGGTGCCTTTTGCCCCTGTTTACATCAATAGAAGAGGTGTTTTCTTTTAGAGGGAAGTCTGTTCTTTCAAACGGTACAATCATTTTATGTGGGAAAGTACCGGACAACAAAACCCCTTTTCTAGAGCCCTTTTGGAAATCAGATCGGGGACTAATCTGGCGTCAAGCGATGTTAACACAATTAAAATATCACATGCAAGGGACGGTCATTGGACTCCGTTCAACTCGGATGCAATTTATACCCCTCTTAGCCATGCTTGCTGTGAAGTAAATCAATATATTTCTAGACTTTTCTAGTTTTCTAAACAATAATACCCCTTTGAGGAATCCCTGACAAGAACATCTCAACTATTGACACGGTGGTTATTGACATTAACAAATTATACGTACATCAAAAAGCTTGTTGAAGTCGTCATTTTCAATTGATCCGCTGCCATTCAAATCTGAAAATCATACATCAAAGTATTACTTTATTTCATATGAATGTGGTGTACCCTATATTTTTGAAACAATTGATGTGGCGATCTCTTGTCATGAGGCAAAGGAGGTAGTCCCCCACCATACGTTCTCTCAATTTAATTATGGAAACTAAACCCAATAGTGATACTTATAATCTATTAAAAATGATGCTCTTGATTATATTTGTCTCTTTTAGTTTTAGATTCTGACTACCCTTCATTACACTCACTCTACTATACCTAACCCCTAGAAATACATAAGATACTCAGTTTGTCTAATTGAATGGCTTAATGTATTGTTAAAAGTATCTCATTAACATCAAACAGTCATCTGGTAAACCATTAATAAGGAACTGACAAATAAAAACAAATAACACAATCATTACTAATAAGCCACATTGGTTGTTTATGAACACCAAATGCAAGATATAGTAGAGTGACAATTTTCGACAACGATTACCATGTACCCTACAAATACGTTTACACATTTTTGAATGGTTAATTTGATAATAAAATATTAGCTATAGAAACTGTTTATCAAAATTTGAAAATATGAAATCAAAATGATACTGTACTTAAGCATCTGTTGATTGTGTAAATATACGGTGCAACATCATGTCCATTGCAAGTATATTGAATAATGTTTGCTTTTAGACACTGTTTTTTAACTCTGCGTTTGTTCCTTTCGTTTGCTAAATGGACATATCTGAATCTAGAATGAAAATTAACTAAAATTATTTTTAATATCGTTAATAAATGTACTCACCAAACCAACTTTGAAACTGATACTTCATTTTCGACATCCAAAAAGGATCGTCTTTGAAATCTGTTGTCGCCATGCTGTCACCTGCGTTGAGAAAAAGCTAAGCTAATTGACACAAATGATAAAACGATACGTTATACTGTTTAAGGCTGTAACGTCAAATGTTACATAATAATATGTAAATGGGCCAAAAAGTTATTCAAAATGAATCCAACCCAAAAAAATGTGATTGTTATTTCTATCAACAATATGAAAGCCCGGTGTGAAAGAAATTATGGTCCCACGGGGATTATGGTCCTCCCTTTTAAAGGCCCTTTCTGGCCCTGATTGTGTATAAGATAATGAGGGAAAGAGTTGTATTTAGGTCACCATATAAATCAATGGAGAGTAGGACCATAATTTGCTAGGACCTCCTACCCTTTTACACCTGTACAAAATGGGACATTTCTATTAATGTTACGTTCATGTGAGTTTGGCTTTCGTTCAGTATATACAGTATAGTTATATATAGTTATATAGCTAGGTTCAACCAATTTGACACAGGTTTTTTGAACAATCATGACAGGGGACGTTTAAAGAAATGAGCCAGTTTCTACGATATTACTTTAAGTAAATTTTGAGGTCCGCTTCCGTTGTAGGCTTTCATTATGTTGACTGATTCCAGTCTTAATCACATGTTTTTAAAATTCATATTTTTGCAGCCTCATTTACTTAACATGAGAAACCGAAATAGCGATTCTGAGATTTCAAAACGCCATGGCTTCCGAACTTCCGAACTTTTTGTTGTGACCTACTTTCAAGACACCATATCTCAAAATTGGTAAGAGTAATTCAAAAATACCAATGACATTTTGAAACGGCAAAGTAAATATGCCATATACGTTGCGGAATATGACAATATATTTGTATTGTGTTTACCACGTAACATAAGGGCATATTTTGTGAAACGCCAAACTTTAATTCACGTATATGCTTTAAATCCCAGTAAAGTTCATTAGTCGTCCATATTGAATTTCGACCTTTGATCTACTCCGATGTTGGAATATCATCTCATCAAACGGTCATAATGATTAAAAATCAAAGGACGAATTTCGGTTTGGAGAACCAAAGACGATTTTCGGTTTGGAGAAACAAAGCCCTTTGCATATTTCGACTTTATCGATGTCGCCAACATTTTTTACGAATGATTAAAACGACATAGAAGGGTTCGCTTATATTTTTATAAAAATATTAAACTATTACCATCATTAAAACTAAAGCATACAAAAGAGGACATTTAAATCTACAATACGTGTTAATATGAAAATATTTGGTGACATTATAATGTGGAAATATGCTGATGAATTTTGTTCTCTAAATCGAAAATCGTCCTTTGCAATTATGATTTAATCTTCGGGAGCACCGCTATCACTGGTGATCCACTCGATTACGCTGGTTACCGAAACGATTCGTTTCGGTAACAAGATGTCGGAACGTCGAAGGTGCGATTTTTCAATTTTTTCCTTATTTCACGCGTTGTAAGCAGAATCCCCACGACATTTTTTCACACAAACTTGTATCAGTACCATATATCTTAGAAAATGTACATGTTTGCGAAAAATAGCTCAGAAGACAACAGAATCGTCGATTTAAGTAACTCACAAAGAAAAAAGCATTTGTAGTTCAGAGATCATTAGACATGCATGCACATGTTAATCAAAGTGCATCTTTTAAATTACTATGGATTTAAAAGATGGCGACACTTTTATAAAAATGAATGTATCATGTAATACAAACAACGCTGCCATCTTTCAATGACATTGATAAAAACTTGATATATAAAGCTTGTCAGATCGAAAATAGTTTTTGATAATTTATTGTAACCTTTGATGTGGTTGTGTGCTGTTGTTGGTGTCAAATGAAAGATAAGGTTCTTATTAACACATTGGACATCCTATGAAATTTAAATGTAAGTCTTTATTTTGCCCCAAAATGTTGAAAATTCCCAAAGGCTGCAGATCTTAACTGTTTTTCGTAATTCCGTTTCTGTAACTTAAGTGAGGAATTCAATTTGTTCGAAAATATGTACATTTTCTTAAACATATGATACTGATATACGTTTGTGTTCAAAATGTCGTGAGAATTCTGCCTACAACGTGTGAAATAAGGAAAAAGGAAAATCGTACCTTCGACGTTCCGACATTTTGTTACCGAAACAGTTCCAGCGTAATCGAGTGGATCACCAGTGACCATACAATAGTACAGTAAGCCTCATTATTGGGAACACCCATTATTTATGTTATAATGCATTGTGGAAAATGATTAAATAATAAAACAAAGTATATATATTTGAGTATAATATATTTAAACTTGTCCGCATCCTTTATTTCAGAGTAATAAATAAACAAACAAATAAACAAACAAACAGACAAATAAAAAAATTAAAGAAAATACACCAACCTGTTCTTGATAGATTGTATGATGCTCTCTCAAATCTCAACTCCTGGTCGAAGTATGTCGGTCAAATGATTTCATTTCTCTGTTTGATACTAGGGGACTGAATTGCATATAATCAATCATATTACACGTATGGTTGTTGCTGATCATGTTGGTACATGGTGCCCGCATTCAAATGCAAGTGTGTACATCTAACAGGTGATTAGAAGTATCTGCTTACTAATTCTTTCAAAATCGGTGGCCTAAACTGACAAGCCGCAGAGTAAACGTACGTTTGCCGCCATCTTGTATCAGGTGGCTTTGTATCTAAAACAAAAACTACGTCCTCCATATAGAGACCATACCATGACCACGCGTCACCATTTAAAAAGCTTCACGACAACCGTCGTTTTTATATCAACAGAAATTCAAATTTCGCTGTGTGGTTGCCGTCGGAAATATCAGTGTTAAGGTATTCGACCTTAGAAATTCTACGGTGAGCGAAGAAATGTTACTGACCGCAGAAATTATAGACCGCATTGTCGCCGTGGCAAATGTGAGTTGGGCTTTGTTTAAAACGGAAACTCTGTTTGAGGCGATCAAATATGTTTTTAAAAATGAAACGGTTATATTGCAGACATCTGAGAGGCATGTTCAGGACCCCCAAGTCATAGTCACAAAGTGTCCGTCTATGTTCTCCGAACACTTATTTTCCAAAAATCGGATGCCAGTTATTCCAGCATATGATTTTTTTCAAAAATGCAGGTGATATGTGTTACACAGTATATGCAGTAATGCATGCAAAAAGTATAAAGGGTACAGCAAGATTTGCTTCGGAGTCTTTCAAGCCTTCAACTGAATACTGTAACTGGCAACGCAGTTTACTTTCCATATTGTTAAGACCATGCTGACGGGTGGGGGATGGGGGTGGGGAGTGCGAGGCTGGAGATACATAATTTACACAACACTGCTTGTCATGTTCATCTTCTCTGTGCGGATAATATGCCCATTAGGGTGTCATCCGCCTTATCTGTATGTTTCACCAGATGTTTGAAAATAAATAAATGAAATGAAATGAATACTTTACAGAATTGGAAGTACTGATATCAATGTAGTTATGCTACCCCCTGTTGAACATATGGTCAGCCCTACAGGGTTAATTCATAGCTAGACTTCAGCCAATCCGAACACTGTGCGTGAAATTACCAATAACGCATCCAAGGTCATTCCTTGTGTGTTTGTCAAGGCGACAAGTTAACTAAACAATATTAAAATTGGCAGTTTGCCAATTTGACCCTTACAGAAAGTTTCATTTAAAATATGTTATTTAAGTGATTTCGTATCATTTAGGTGACATGCTAAAAATATTTTGCAATGTGTGAAAAGAGTTTAAGCCCAGCACTCAATGCATTGTGTAATTACCATTCCTTTCAGACGTTGCTTACTAAAATTAACGCTCGATGCTCCGCATCTAATCTTAAATCCTTATAAATAATGCCATCCAGCAGAGTGTACTGGGCATTGCACGATCAGTTCATAGGATAAAAACAAATGAACGTTACCTGAGAACACTTGAAATAATCAAACAATAAATTCAAATCCATGATTGATGATTTTCGTCCTTTAGGTGTATTATTAGTTTGTTCTGACGAGCAAAACAATAATTGTAGACCTCTCTATTCGGTCAACCGGCGAAATCATATAATCATACCTTGAAACTACCGTTGACCTCGACCATCGGTCTCTGTCAACAGAATTTTCTTAGTTTTAAGTCTCGGTATACAATTTTGCCGGTTGACCTCTGGATAGGTCAACAACTGTTGCTATTGATGATCACATAAAATAACATAAAATCACATTTTCTAGGAAAATTGGTAAATATTGGACACATGAACAATTTACCATTAATATTCAAACATCTGACAAAAAAATTTAAGTGAGTTTTAGCTTATGTACTTATGTACATAAGCCAAAAATATTCGAAAATTGAAACAATTTTTTGTTTAGACTGCTTGCTATATCTGATTCTCTCTTTAAGTTTCTGTAAAAAACTTTTTTGGAACACCCTGTATTATTTTTATAAAGATCTTATTAAGTGCAATTTGAGGTACATTTTAACACTGTGGTCCCAGGATTCGTCTGACGGGGTAAGCAGCGTGGCGCCATCTTTGAAAGAACGTGAGAGTTATTCTACTCTTTTTCGAGAGAGGAGTGAAAATTAACCGACTTTATGCTCCGAATTTGTGAAAACAAATTACGGATTGCTCAAACTTTTTGGAATTATCGTAAAAAGGTGAGTTTCTTGTGCATTTTGCCGTGTATCTTGGCCAATTTGTGACAATATAATTGTATTATGGCTTTGTTGAATACGCCCACTGTCGCTTTGTTATACATTGGCACTAAACCTGCCACAACTTCAAGATAATGCGTCTATTTGAAAAAAATAAAATCTGAGAAATTTTGTTTTTATTTTTTTTAACTTCTGCGAAAATTTCAGGACTTTTGCACGAAAACTGAAAATTTTAGATCTGATAGAAATGTATTGTGAACATTCTATGTATTCCCGGGAAACACTTATTATCGCCCACCAATCTCCCAATCAAACTACATTACTAGATTACATTCATATAGTTCTACATATAATTCTTGCATTTTATTGTTGTTTAAACATAAAAACGAAGATCAGTTACCAATTTTCATAAATTCCCCATCATGGCAGTGGTTGTTATGACGATTACGCCGAACGAAAAGTGCATATATCCTGTAACACAGTGACATCTTTAAAACGCATCGGCTTTATTTCAATGTTACTTTTTTATGACGTTTTGGACCACAGTGTTAAGTTAAAAAAAAAATTAAATGTGACCACATTAGGTTTGATAAATTGATGTCTTGATATACAGTGCGTATCAAAATAACGCAACAGATTGTTATCTCGGAAAAGCACAAAACAAGTGATAACAGCATTGATTTCATTCAATGTACCAAAAGCCATGTGTCTCCTCTTTTCAATGGTATATCATTCGTTGATTTTGGGTCATGTTTGGGCGAGTAATCATTCCTTTTGCAAATTGGGCCAAAATAAGCTTGGTACCAATTTATAAACAGCGCGAAATAAAGTCAGTGTACAGGGCCCAATGCAATATTGCAAGAAAAAATAAAACCAATGACGACTACAGTTTCATTCAATGTATCAAAAAATGTCAATTTACTCCTCTTTGCAAAGGAATGTCATTCATTCACAGGGAGTCATGGCTGGCCGAAAAATCGTTAAATTCGAAGAGTTGGGTAAAATCAGCTCGGACCCAAGGTTTTAAACATTGCAAAGGTCAGTGCATGGGGCATAAGGGCAATTGGAATTAAGAAGGTGTGATAGGTGTAACATAGACAGTTAAGTGTTCATACTCATACTCTTACAAGAATACATCCTATACCCCTCCGAATTGCCACCACTTCTTTGCACAAAAAGATGCGCTATCTAACCATGTCATGCATTGTTCAGCCCTGAGTCATATGTGGCTTAAAGCGGAGAAAAGCAGCCCATTTGGTAATTCTTTCTCCCAATTTTGCAATAGCTGGTGGAGGAATGGTGAGCACAGATGCTCTTGAAATAGCTTAGTCCTTGCATTGATTTTTGCAGTATCTGAAACTTGGTCCAGAGCCGATTTTGACACACTGTGCAAATGGAAGGATTTCTCACCCAACCATGACCACGTGTGAATGAATGACATATCATTGCAAAGAGGAGGGATGTAGCTTCATTGTAAATTAAAGACGGGTCGCAAAAAGCTCGCGCACGCATTGTTACACATTTTGTGGCGTAATCCAGAGGATCCTCGCTTTTAACAAGATAGAATGTGAAGTTTTTGAGAAAAATGTACACACATGAAAATCCTTTCGTCCTTCACATTTACCTCTATATCTCAAAACATTTTAGACGAATAACTCTGATATCATATATATATTGTTAATGGGCTAGGAGCATCATAAAACACGAATCAATTGATATTTTAGGTGAAATAAATATACGTGTTGCTGTGCTTGAAAATAGGCGAATGGCGTAAATTAGCCCTATTTTAATGAATTTTGAAAACCTTTCGTCCTCCACATACAACAGAAAACACATACTTTTGTGAACAAAATCAACTAATTATTAATAAACTAGAGTTTAGGAGCAAAATAATCATGTATGATTTATTAAAAATTGATCTCGTATTTTTTGTTTAATGTACACCTGAAAAGTTGAAGGTACCAAAAAATGAGCAAAAAAGGTCGCTGTCAACAGATTCTATTTTTCAGACTCTATGACGTCACAATATGGGATAAGCAGCGTGGCGCCATCTTTGAAAGAACGTGAGAGTTATTCTACTCTTTTTCGAGAGAGGAGTGAAAATTAACCGACTTTATGCTCCGAATTTGTGAAAACAAATTACGGATTGCTCAAACTTTTTGGAATTATCGTAAAAAGGTGAGTTTCTTGTGCATTTTGCCGTGTATCTTGGCCAATTTGTGACAATATAATTGTATTATGGCTTTGTTGAATACGCCCACTGTCGCTTTGTTATACATTGGCACTAAACCTGCCACAACTTCAAGATAATGCGTCTATTTGAAAAAAATAAAATCTGAGAAATTTTGTTTTTATTTTTTTTAACTTCTGCGAAAATTTCAGGACTTTTGCACGAAAACTGAAAATTTTAGATCTGATAGAAATGTATTGTGAACATTCTATGTATTCCCGGGAAACACTTATTATCGCCCACCAATCTCCCAATCAAACTACATTACTAGATTACATTCATATAGTTCTACATATAATTCTTGCATTTTATTGTTGTTTAAACATAAAAACGAAGATCAGTTACCAATTTTCATAAATTCCCCATCATGGCAGTGGTTGTTATGACGATTACGCCGAACGAAAAGTGCATATATCCTGTAACACAGTGACATCTTTAAAACGCATCGGCTTTATTTCAATGTTACTTTTTTATGACGTTTTGGACCACAGTGTTAAGTTAAAAAAAAATTAAATGTGACCACATTAGGTTTGATAAATTGATGTCTTGATATACAGTGCGTATCAAAATAACGCAACAGATTGTTATCCAGGAAAAGCACAAAACAAGTGATAACAGCATTGATTTCATTCAATGTACCAAAAGCCATGTGTCTCCTCTTTTCAATGGTATATCATTCGTTGATTTTGGGTCATGTTTGGGCGAGTAATCATTCCTTTTGCAAATTGGGCCAAAATAAGCTTGGTACCAATTTATAAACAGCGCGAAATAAAGTCAGTGTACAGGGCCCAATGCAATATTGCAAGAAAACATAAAACCAATGACGACTACAGTTTCATTCAATGTATCAAAAAATGTCAATTTACTCCTCTTTGCAAAGGAATGTCATTCATTCACAGGGAGTCATGGCTGGCCGAAAAATCGTTAAATTCGAAGAGTTGGGTAAAATCAGCTCGGACCCAAGGTTTTAAACATTGCAAAGGTCAGTGCATGGGGCATAAGGGCAATTGGAATTAAGAAGGTGTGATAGGTGTAACATAGACAGTTAAGTGTTCATACTCATACTCTTACAAGAATACATCCTATACCCCTCCGAATTGCCACCACTTCTTTGCACAAAAAGATGCGCTATCTAACCATGTCATGCATTGTTCAGCCCTGAGTCATATGTGGCTTAAAGCGGAGAAAAGCAGCCCATTTGGTAATTCTTTCTCCCAATTTTGCAATAGCTGGTGGAGGAATGGTGAGCACAGATGCTCTTGAAATAGCTTAGTCCTTGCATTGATTTTTGCAGTATCTGAAACTTGGTCCAGAGCCGATTTTGACACACTGTGCAAATGGAAGGATTTCTCACCCAACCATGACCACGTGTGAATGAATGACATATCATTGCAAAGAGGAGGGATGTAGCTTCATTGTAAATTAAAGACGGGTCGCAAAAAGCTCGCGCACGCACTGTTACACATTTTGTGGCGTAATCCAGAGGATCCTCGCTTTTAACAAGATAGAATGTGAAGTTTTTGAGAAAAATGTACACACATGAAAATCCTTTCGTCCTTCACATTTACCTCTATATCTCAAAACATTTTAGACGAATAACTCTGATATCATATATATATTGTTAATGGGCTAGGAGCATCATAAAACACGAATCAATTGATATTTTAGGTGAAATAAATATACGTGTTGCTGTGCTTGAAAATAGGCGAATGGCGTAAATTAGCCCTATTTTAATGAATTTTGAAAACCTTTCGTCCTCCACATACAACAGAAAACACATACTTTTGTGAACAAAATCAACTAATTATTAATAAACTAGAGTTTAGGAGCAAAATAATCATGTATGATTTATTAAAAATTGATCTCGTATTTTTTGTTTAATGTACACCTGAAAAGTTGAAGGTACCAAAAAATGAGCAAAAAAGGTCGCTGTCAACAGATTCTATTTTTCAGACTCTATGACGTCACAATATGGGACGCTTACTAAAATTCATCCTTTGAAATAAAACTTCCATCTACCTTTATCAAGACGAAAAATAAGTATAATAGTCATATATTGTTTGAGTTATGAGCGTTTAAAGACGAAAAATAATTCAAAATGTAACGTGTCAACATGGGATATTTGCCAGATGTTTTGGTAAAAAACTCTTTTTTAAAAACGAACGCGCAAAAAATGTGAACGGAGTGTAGTTGATCTAAAATCTTCATCGAAACAGCTTTAAAATGATATATAACTTTAATTAGAATATTATCTTTTATTATATCACTGTCATATTCCTCACTCTCTTATAGGTCCATGTCCTACACGTGACTAGAAAATAACTAGCGATATTCAACGGAAGTCACGTGACTTCCGGTGAATATCAAATGATATTCAACGATCATGACTTATACATCCCCGTGGTTGACTTAGTCCAGTGTAATTTTCATTTTATATATCCCATAATAACCAAAATGGCAGACGGTAAACAAAGGTTTCCAAATATTTCTGCAGAAGAAATTGATAGAATCCACGGGAATATTCATTCAGATAACACAATAAAGGCAACAAAAAGATCAGTGAAAATCTTTCAAGATTGGATATCTAGCAAAGACGATGTGATTGATTTGGAAAACGTATCAAAATCGACATTGAATGAAAAATTGAACCCAAACCAGTTTTATTTATAGGCACGATCAATTGAGGGAGAACACTATAAACCCTCATTTAATTATAGAAGATGTTTTGACAGTGATATAATAAAACAAATATTTAATTCTATTTTCGGTGAATACCTGTGACACTTTCACAAGATGATATTCCACTAGCCCTTCGGGCTTCGTGGAATATCACTTGCGAAAGATGCACATGTATTCCCCTCAATAGAATTAAATATTTGTATAATATTCCGGGGAATCAAAGTTACATTCACGCGATACCCTTAAAAAACAAATGCGCCACCTTTTTGCGACACGTCAAATGAAATTGATGTAGTCATCACTAGTTTTGTGATTTTACGAGATAACTGCTTGTTGCGTTTGTTTACGCCCTGTAGTCCTTTTATTTCCCAAGTACCGGTAACGCAAAAGGTACTCAATATCATAACACATGATGCACACTCAGGTTGGGTAAGGCAAAACTGTTGACCGCTAATTAAAATTCAGAGACGGGTATTTATCTTTTGTACAACTGAACCTTGTTGGTCAAGGCTCGATGGCCATTGAACAAAACATGCTCAAAATGACGTGCTTGTTCTAGAGGCAAACTTAAACGCACAGCGGATAAGGTTTTATGACTACGCCCTCTTGTGTAATGTCTCTCATTGTACTACTTATCTCTCGTTTCAACTATCAGATTCTCCTCGGGTGGTAAGTGTAGACACAATCTTTGAAATAGTCCAATAAAGGATGAAATACTGGGGGTCATATTGAGCGATTTTGGTATATCTTGGCATTTGGAGAATCTTTTGAAGACCATGACCATTTGAAATAGACAAATGAAACATGTCTGTTCAGGTTACCTATTCTGGCTCACCTTGTATATATGAATTTGTGGGGTTTAATTCATTGATGAACTATTCCAATTATGTAGAAATACATCATTTATATTTACAGACATAAAAGATGAACCATCAATTGTAACCTTTTATTTAATTGTGGTGTTATATCTTTTCCACTCAGATGTTACTGTTGACCATGGAGATCAATTACTCAGATGCGAGTAGGTAGTTACCAGTTTCGCCACCAGGTGGCTGATTCGGGGGAATTAACATGGCAGGGTATTACAAAATTCCCTAAATTTGAATATGCATCAGTTTTAGTGGTTCACTTTTCATATTACCCTTATGTATCTGATAGTTATACAAATTAAAATATGTCCAGTAAAAGAAAATATTATCTGCCCAACAGAAGAAAAGATATTTCACTTTTTGTGGTTTTACAACATGGGGTCTATGGGGAATCTCCCCGACCTAGAAGTCATATTTTCATAGAAAATTAAATTTTCAAACATAACAAACTAAAACAACTTTAAGTTTAAAAAACGTCATTACTTGTATTAAAAAAATAAACAGGTAGTGAGTTTATTATACAATTTTACGTGAAAATGAGGAAAAAGCTGCCCAATTATTTCACTCTCAAATATTATGTATGGTAGAGTTGAAACGTTATGTGTTACAAGTTACATTAAACAATTACAACGCAATGTTATGAGACCCTCGACTTTATTTGATGTAGACTGTACATTAAATGTCCTTTTCCTCCCTAGAACCTTTGAAGGTAACGTTCATTAATTGTATCTTCCAGTCAGCATTTTGCCAAGGCAGTTCCCGGGAGAATTCATATCAGTTGAGGTTGAATACTGTATGTTACACAGAAACCAGAAGTCACGATCCATGACCATACGTCCACCCTGAAAATCAAATTATGGATGAAAAGAAATACTTGTATGATTCGAATGTTTGGGTAATGTAAACATGGTGTCTAATTAATAAGATGAAGGATACAGTACTGTTACTTTCTTAATATTTCAACAAACTGCAAATCAAAACGCATTACATTAAACTACTTTCAACATTTTTCACAGTTCTGTCAGACTTTTAGTTGCTATATTAACCGAAACAACAAAAAAGCCTGGCCAGTTTTGTTAATGTCACGAATTTCTATAACAGCAGAAACGTATTTCCTTTGCATTTCTTAATGCAATCATATAATACAAAAAGCATCATGACATCAGTGGCAGTTGAATTTAATTGGTGGTTTTGCATTCCAAACTCATCATTATCTTGGAAAACATGAGATGACAGTCACTACAATTTAGACCCATTCCTTTTGTTGTTGTTCCAGTTGCTATAGCAACCGTAACAATATAATGTGAATTAAATCGGCTTTGGTTATACAACGTCTGTTCTTCTATCTATCTTTATTGCTACATTTAAAAAGTTAAAAACGGCATCTTTCACCTAATTTATTGGACACCCTGTACAATGCATATTAAGTTAAATGATCGAAGAGGTAATGCTAGACAAAATAGTGTTTTAGCTTTAATGTATGTAAGCATTTAATTTTGACCTGGAAATTTAGACGCATCTTTCATTATTGAGCTCATTTATTACAGAATCTGAAATATTTAAAGATCTACGTACATATGTCATATCATCGAAGCATTTCTCAATTACGTCATCTGGAATTAGGAATGCTCGATAAGCTGACATGAATTCCTCTTTCGCTATCCAACCATCACCTGTAACAAAAATAGATTTCTATTGTAATATATTTCAAAACTGAATAACGTACACTTATAAGATTGGACAAATCTCTTATAATAACATTTATCTTATTAACTGCTTTACATGGGATATCATGGTATGTTGTTTTATCAATTTCGTAAAAGTACAATTTTAAGGGTTGAAATACTATGATGTCATTAAAACAATTAAAAATAATGCATCGCTGTATTATGGACATTGGATTGTTCAGGCTGGTTTGTTGATATATACACAAATACTTAAATAAAAGAAGTGGGAATTTCTAAACTACACCACGACTTGAATAAAGGATGTGGGTATTGATAAACCTAAGATAAATCGAGTTTTCTAAATTGGATATTATGATATTTCCATGTTAAGTCAAATGGTGCACATCCAGATGTAAGTCAATACATCCTTGCTGACCGTAATGGTCAAACACTTACGCATTTCCCAATGTAATCTTTTAACATTGTAGTCTTCATGTTATCAACCATATGGATATTCGCCACTGATTGCAACCATTCTTTAAACTTACCGTTTCCAAGTCTATCAAAGACATCAAAGTATAGGTTGATGTAGTCACTATACCATTTAGGAACCTGCATAGTCTTGGACTTGATTTGTCTGCACATTTTCTCCATAAAATCAAGCCACTCATTCAACGTCACCTTAAAAAATAAATGAAAATCAATTTTGGCAGAGATAAGAGTTAGTAGAATCAATTATTAAATGCGTGATCATATTTTTGCAGACTCGCTGGCCCAAAAATACATACATATCAAAAGCAAAACACAAGTATAAGCTTATCTCAGTTGAACTATTTAAACAAAAGTCTGGGCATTCTTTAAAGTCCCTGTCTAAAGTTTAAAAATATTTTTTTATCATTCATTTACTATTTGTCAGGACTTAAAAAGTGATTTTAGAGATTTTTGAACAAAAAAGTTTTTTGAAAAAAAAGTTGTGAACATTTCATTTCTCAAATATTCAAATTTCCCGCCATTTTTCAAAAAAGTTGAAATTTCTTAATCATCAAATATTTCTTAATGCATTTCAAAAAAGATTATATTTTTAACACCAATGCAAAGATTGAACAAAAGACACACAATTTCAATAATAAAATGTCATATTTAATGGGCCACTTCAATGTTTTAGCTTATCAAAAATATATTGAAACATTAGTGATGTCACTAAGGTAACAAAAACTTTTTGAAAAAAATTGAATTTTTTTTTTCGATGTCAATCTTTTCTAAATATGCTAGATTTTAAAAAAAAACAATGTTGATTGTCTAACCAGGTTATAAGGAAGAATAAATTATGTTTTAGATATCATTGTACCATTGGTTTCTATGAGAACTAAAATTTTGAAATGCATTTTTCTCAGAACCATTTTCATGCACTGATAAGTTCATTTCTCGCTTATTTATCAACCGATTTTCTTAATTCTTTCGGCAAAAAACATGGGAGGATGAATGGTATGAATTGTGGCGAATTAGAAGATATGAGTGACCTCTAAAAGTTGGTTTTAAATAAATTCACAAATTATGGAACAAAAAGTCTATCAAAAACCACTTTTGAAATTAAAAAAAAAAGTTTCACATATCACACTTTGATAACATTGGGTAAGACTACAATATAAGCCAAAGTGGTTTAAACTTTACACGGGGCCTTTAATATTTATGATTAAATAACCAATCATAATTTTTTCTTAATATTTAATTCGGTTGTGCTTTAAAGAAAATGGTCATCACCAACCTTATAATCGGAGTTAGGATTTGCACCGCATCTTAATTCCTGCCACATCGTGTACATGACGTTATCACATACTGACCACATAGGACTGCCTACTGACCACTTAGTCAAGGCTTGAATATTCTGAAATAACGTATAATTGTTTATAATATGACAATATGGCTATTATATTGATTAAGAGTCAAGGCTTGAATATTCTGAAATATAACTTATAATTGTTTATAATATGACAATTTGGCTATTACATTGATTAAGACTCAAGGCTTGAATATTCTAAAATAACATATAATTGTTTATAATATGACAATATGGCTATTACATTGATGAAGAGTCAAGGTTTGAATATTCAGAAATATAACTTATAATTGTTTATAATATGACCTTGTGGCTATTACATTGATTAAGAGTCAATGTTTTAATATTCTGAAATAGAACTTATAATTGTTTATAATATGACCTTGTGGCTATTACATTGATTAAGAATCAAGGCTTGAATATTTGGAAATATAACTTATAATTGTTTGTAATTTGACAATTTGGCTATTTCATTGATTTAGAGGCTTGAATAGTACTATTCTTAATATATGTATTTTACTTTATGGATTTTATAACATTGGATTCATGGGGAATCTCAAAGTTGAGACTTTTTAAGCGTTGATCTTTCTTAAGAGTGTCTTATTGTTACACTAACATTTACCTGAGAATGTTGATAGAAATCATTCCTTTCAATAACTCCGTTTCTGTCTTGATCTAAAATTAGAAAAAAAACGGATACAGATATATCCTGCCTTCGGTAGTTCACCAAGTATTTGCTATTTTGTTTGTTGTGCAATATAACTTAAAATAAATACCAATTTTCTGTGTAATGAGTTTAATTAAATAACAATTAAACAATTCCCTGACTTGATAATTTTGAATAACTTGGGCATATGATAATACTAATGCGGCTATCAAGTCACACTTACCAAACCATACATAAAACTGGTAAATTTGTTTTTCCTCCCAGAACGCAGTGCGTTCAAATTCAGTTTCACAACCTATTAGCTTGACCAACATTTCTCCAAAAATGTTTCCAGGATTGTCCATTTCCAAGGATACAACGAATCCAACCATCATTTCTCGGTAAAGATTGAGGTCAAATTCCCGTTTTCCATTCTAAAAGAAAAAATGTGTTATCCGATTGTTTTTTGCTGTTTGTTTGATTTGTTATGACGCCACGTTGAATTTAATAACTTTATTTCTGTGTCCTACTAAAATTTCCAAACACAAAAGATCATTGGTATTATTATAAGTTTCATATTTCTGAATGAATGAAAAACAGGAAGAATGCAACTCGAGTCAATTTTAATATGCCGTCTAATCAAATTTTATGAAACGTTTGGTCAAACAAATAAATACTTCAGACGTGCGTTAAAATGTCGTCCAAATGAGATATACAATGCGTATCAAAAAACGCAACATATTGTAATCTCGGAAAAGCACAAAACCAGTGATAACAGCATTGATTTCATTCAATGCACCATAAAGCCATGTGTCTCCTCTTTACAATGATATATCATTCATTGATGTTTGGTCATGGTTGGGCGAGTAATCATTACATTTGCAAAGTGGGCCAAAATTAGCTTCGGAACAAGTTATAAACATCACAAGAGGCAGTGTACTGAGTTCGGCGCAATATTGGAAGAAAACATTAAACCAATGCTGACTGCATCCTTTTCATTCAATGCACCAAAAAGCCTAATTACTCTTCTTTGCAATGAAATATCATTCATTCACAGGGAGTCGCTTTGGCCAAATAATCATTCATTTTGCAAAGTGGGGCAAAATTCTGCTCTGACCCAAGTTTTAAACATTGCAAAAGTCAATACAAGGGGCATAGGAGCTATTGGAAGAAGGTGTGATAAGTGTGGAATAGACAGTAAAGTGTTAATACTCATACTCTTGCAAGAAAACATCCTACACCCCTCCAAATTGCCACCACTTCCTTGCACATAAAGATCATCTGTCCACGTCATGCATGGTTCAGCCCTTAGTCATCTGTGGGTTAAAGCAGAGAAAAGCAGCCCATGAGCAATTTTTCTCGAGGTTTTGCAATATCTGGTGGAGGAATTGTGAGCACAGATGCTGCTGAGATAGCTCCAAAAGAAAAAGTCACAACAATTCAAGTCAGGGGAATTTCCGTTGGCACTTAGCCCTTGCACTGATTTTTTCAATATCTAAAACTTGGTCAAAAGCCGATTTTGACCCACTGTGCAAATGGAAGGATTTCTCACCCAACCATTACCACATGTGAATGAATGACATATCATCGTAAAGAGGAAATACGTGGCTTTATGATACATTGAATTAAATTGATGTAGTCATCAGTAGTTTTGTGATTTTACGAGATTACTACTTGTTGCGTTTTTTTGATACGACCTGTATGTTGTTTTTCTTATGGGCAAAGTGTAAATACCAGAGTTATCCTCGCGTATGTAGAATCCACTATGGCAAGGGGGATGTTATACAATCCATTGTAAGTTGCTGCAAACTCTCGCCTACTAATCCAACCATCCCCTTTGTAAAATAACAATATCAAATAAATGTAGCACATCCAGTGCGCCCTGAAAAAAACTTTTCTAAAATGCTAGAAAAGTATCATAACATTAAAGGGACTCAATAAAAGCTAGTTTAACATTTTTGGATTAGAAGGGTTAATCGTTTTGAAGGGTTGTATGTATTAAACGTTTCATGGAATACAAAATAAGTCATAGCTTGCGACTTGACTGTCTCGTTACTTTCGTCCCCACACACCTATCTGAGCTAAACTTTGGTTGAGCCAATTTATAGTCCCCAAGTACGGGCAACCGCGCACTAGCACTCTATATTGATTCACACATGCCTTAAGGCATTAACATAAAAATTTACACAAAATTAAAAATAAAAAGTTACACAAACTTTAGGAGAGGCACATTTTATCTTATTTATTTATTTTCAAATTCTAAAGCCTATTCCAACTTCATTTTTGCTAGATCTTTCAATATCATTGGTAACTTGTTCTGAGTCCAAGGATCACCGCTTTTCATAGAAAATATGAGTTCTATGAATTTATATGATCAACAGTAACACATTCATTATGTTCACCAAATCTGCTACACTCTGAGATAGCAACGAATATGTTGAATGGTCAACTGTACATTTTGTTGTCTATTTTCTGTATTGAACAATTGGGACAAAACATTTGAATGGCAGTGTTATCCATAACTTACCATTAGTGTCAGTAAGTAGAAAATTGATATCGATGAATTCAGAGTACCATTGGGGTAAATCACTATCCATGAAGTTGTAGTTTGCTGCAAAATCTGCCCAAAAGTCACACCATTCAGTTATACTTATCTGTAAATCATAAACCACAAAGGGCAAAGTTATAATTGGTTGGGAAATTAAACACACCGTGTGTCCCTTGACACAACTGATTTCTTCTAGGCGATCACACATCCCTAAGTAGTTGCATATATGGCTGATCTAGTTCTACTTAAAACTTTGGTGTTTTTCGTTATAGTTGAAACAGGGGTTCTGTGACTTTCATTTCACCTATTTTGTCTAATATGTGCTTTAAGGAATGAACTCATGTACTGATCAAATGCAAAATAAACATTTTATTATTAATTTGCATATATAATATATTCTTCCGTTCTTAGTAGCACTAACTATCTATATTTCACTTGGTGCTACTTCGCTTCAAAATATTTCAGAAGTTTTTTTCTTGGAATGACCCTTGACATTGTAAATTTTGGGATTCTCACTTTGTCTCCGTTACCTATGTGAAATTCAATTATTCCGATTCTGCGCTTTGAATAACAAAATACATAAATTAACAAGGCACGGGGTGAATAATATCGTAGCTAAAACATAGTAGGGTGGGCTTAGTGACCCAGAAAGCAAGATGGTCACCAAAAAGTTAATCCGTTCTAGAACTTCTTACCATGTAACATGTGTAACAATTTGAAGTAAACCCGTTAAGTAATTTTCCTGGAATTTTCCTGGAATCTCGATGACAACATTTATCTAAAGAAAATGACCGCCCGTATGCAACTATGTCAACTTGATTTCTATTTACCTGGCCGTTATTATCAGTATCCGCACGTTTTAGTTCGTCCCAGAAATTTTTTTGCATGTTGTCGGCTCTGTTCCACATTGGACTTCCATGATCCCAACCCTCGGTAAGTGCAATCCCCTAAAAAGTATGTTTCAGATACAACAACGTAGCAACATTTAAAATCAGGTTAACTTTCCGACAAGCTGAGACATGTTGAAACTTCATACACAACGAACAGCCAAACAGTTTTTGCTGATGATTGGTATCTTTAGTGCGTTTCATACATCTCAACATTTCTTTAAATAAAAAAAACTGTTCTAATACAAGAAAGATTTTTTTTGAATGTTTTATTGATTCAACATTCTGAGTCAGAAATATGTTACTTTAAACAATAAACAAATACCACATACCAAGAATATATTGGCAAAATCCATCCTTTCAACGACACCATTTCGATCCGCATCTACAAATGAACATTTAATGTTAGTGCGATGAAGTCATAGTTGACCTCGTTCGTCAGTATACTTATTGTAATCTTATCTTGTAAATCTTATTTCGGCTCTGGCCATCTCAATATTAAGATATAAAAGAGGCATTTTGGCATTGGAACCTCAGATCCTCGTTGCGTGAAGAAGATAAGAAGATCCAGAGACTTCATGCAAGGCTAATCCAATGTTCGAATAGTTAGAAAGAAATCTTACTCACCAAACCATGTGTAAAACTGATGCCGCATTTTTGACATCCAGAAGGGATCATCTCTCATGTTCTTTGCCATCCTGAAAAAATAAAGTACGTACGTGTGCATTTTAGCATGTGTGCGCAGTAACTCGAATATTAAATTACACATTTTCAAGAGGTAAAACTAAAATATAATAGGTGCAGTTTTGTACATATATCTTTATAGAATATTAAGTAAAAATGTTTATGTCACATATGAATAGAATGTACAATTTTCACTTTTGGCTAAAACATTTTCTTATAAAAAGATATGCAATTTTAGCTAAAATATTTTAAAGTAAAAAATAGCCAGTGTGTCGTAAAGAAGAAAGGTTTACTTCTGGCATTCTGCAGCAAAGTTTTGAATTTAAACAAAAAAACACCATGGACAGAGGTAACGAGTTCTTGCCAAGCATATCTATCCAAAACGAGGCTGCGACGCGGTTAAGACACAAAATGGCGACTTCGAGGAGGTTCGAAATGGCGTTTAGTTTATCTATAAGCTATATGCACCAGTTTGTGTGCTAAAGTTAATAGCATATACCATTCGGTGGAGAACTCTACAGAGTATGTCTATGTGCAGCGTCTTGACATTTAGTCAATTGGGGAAATATATTATGGGTGCACAAAGTCAGCCAATTGATAAATTTGACAATCGGGGCATTTTTCTAGCTTCAATTCAGTGCTTTTGACTTTGTCACTGGACATATATCTATAAAATCACGTATACAACACGGCAATCTTTATTTTTTCATAGTGTGGTCACTGTTTGACTTCTGTTAACAGATTCTGTACCAGGCATATTTTGGAAACACAGTCCAGACAATATGGCAACGCGGGTCCAGACATCATACATATATGACAAAACTGGATACGCGGTCACAGCAAAGAAGTTGATGTTTTATCATATGCGATAATCTTTTGGAGCCCAACGGACCTTAGGATATGTTTTTTTTGTCCTGCTCCCATAGTTGGTGATATGAATTTCCTATCGGTGTTCTGTTTATTTCCCTCATCATTAATACTAATTGCAGACGTGGTCCCTATTCTTCTTCGTTTCGTTTGGTACAGATTGTCATTGCTTGATCTTCTCTTTCTGAAAAAGGCGTTAGATGCCTAATTCAAATAAACTAACTTAAATACTTTGCGCTTAACAATACAGAGAAAGTTGGTGCCTGGGCAGCGTTGCCATACGATCTAATCTATGCTGAAGACGTGTTGCCATATTGCTGAAAATGACTGTGCCGAGTTCAATTTTGTAAACAGATTGCAAGAAAAAAAGTTTCAATCTTAATTTGTACTGTACATTCTACATTTGACAGGCCATTGAATGCCAAATCCAACGTTAAATTTGCTCATGAGCCGCAAAATACCACGTGACCTAATAATACCACGCCTGCCTCGTTTTGAACAGCTACGCGTGGTTGGAACGCGTTATCTATGTCCACCTTGAAAAAGACGTGGTCAATTGAAAAGATCCCTTACCCTAATAAACGGCCGTTGACCATCATTTCTCCTAAAATATTTCCCGTGTGTCCCATATCCTTAGAAACTGTGAAGCCGATCATCATATCTTTGAACTGATCCAGATTAATTCCTGGCCTGCCATCCTGAAACAAACATTTTATATATAATACATAACGGTTATGCACTGGGAGGTTTTGGATATAGGGTATATCCTGAGGGATATATTTATAATTCCCCGAGGGACAGAAGGAACGAGGGGAGATGTAAATATTTCCCGAGGGATATACCCCATATCCAAAACCGACCGTGCATATAACTGGTGCATCTCATACTTGAGTGGGTTTTGGGTAGATTAACATCTTCCACCTTTTTCAAATGACAAGATAGGTATACATGTATCGTGTAAACGTACAATTAAGGCTATATTTAACATTTTCGTCATATTCCTTGAGTACAAACAATGAAAGTGTAATATTTACGAGTAAATTTGTGTTATTGTAAAACAAGAACTGTTTATGAATGTACTGCTCAAGAAGTGCTTTCCTCAAAATTCCCGGGAGCGGGATGGATACATAATACAATATATCCTGCCCGCTCCTCAGATAATATATATATTCCCAGATGATATGTACCCAAAACCCACTCAAGCATGAGTGAACTGTGAACCATGACACAGTTGAGTTCGTGGAGTAATTATCACAAAAATATGTTTTATGGCTCTTTGTAGGTCTTTTTATCGTCATTCTCTATATAAGATTTTCAATGGTTGTTGTGTCGAACATACAGTACTTTAATGAACAATAATATCAAAAAAGAATGGGGTATAAAACACAGACCTTAATATGCTAGTATTTGATGCTTGTATAATAAAGGAAAAATACTCACCGAAGTAATTTTCTCGTATGCAGATTTTACTAAATCTAAGGGGAGTTTGTGTGTTTCATTGTAATATGATGCAAAATCGCCGGCATCTATCAGTTCATCACCTGTTTAATATGAATATCATGGTATTATATACGGTTACTTAAAAAAGTGTACAACAGTGGGTGAACATTTTGTGTGAAATGTCTTTTTTCTGTCAAACTAATTGTTTTGACGTGTCACTGGAAGGTTGCTTGTCAGTATTTAGATTTTCTAATTGCGGATAATAACGACCTCGATATGTATCTTACAAAATAAATTAGTTTTAAAATATATCAACTTATAATCAGTATCAATTTCTGGCGTCATAAATTATCACTTTTCACAAGCATGTACTACGGTATATGGCTTTTGTTTAAACTATATATAGAGATTATCCTATATGAGGTTCAGGATATTGGGATTATCCCGAGGCCAATATAATATATCTGCCCGAGGGCCGTAGGTAAAGGTAAAGCTATATCTGCCCGCTGATGAAAATATAAGTTTTTACAAACCGGCTTTATGTACCCGTAACACGTCCAAGTATGGGATAAATAGATATATCCGATACTGATGATAGATATCCACAAGTAAAAGAAAACGTTAAACCCTTACCATTCCTGTCGATTATGAAAAAGGTCACTGCCATGAATTCTTTGTACCAATGAGGTATGTACTTTCGCTTGTTGTATTGGACGGCAAAATCATCAAAGAAAGTGCACCATTCACTCAGACTTATCTAAAGATATTAATAACACGAAGGATTACCTCTAAAATCATACAAAATGAAGGAAGAAATTCTTATAAGCACCTAGAACATACAATCTGTGATGAAACTATGGTATATTGAAAGTATATTCAGTCATTCATTGACAATATTCAAGGAGAATTCATCTGGAAATCTAGATATTCTAGAAAATGTTGGCATTTTTTAAAATTACAATGCTATCTATCTTAAAACTCTTAAACATTTAAATAGATGTGGATATCCTTGATCTGTGCATTTGCCTACACAATTCTCAAATATATATGGGGGACCTTTAAAAATAATTGATCAATCTAATTTATCATTTTCTTTCTTACGAAGACTATCTAAGCTAATGGAAATGAAAAATAGATTTGGCTCGAAAATGTACACTTCCTGAATAGCCATCTAGAAACTGTATGGAAATAAGCCAGACGTCAAAGTGACTTGCCTCCCTGCAGTTTATCTATGTAGTTTCATAAACTTTTTATAAACTGGACATTGTGCCTAACATGCAGTCTCACGCCCGGTGATCGTACAAAAATGATGGAGGGGGGATGAGGCGATTTCTGCAAGAAAACTCAACAAATTTGGAAGATTTATTTTTTCAAGAGAAAATTTACAACTGAATTGTCAAATGAATAGGCGCAGTGCATGGCAAAATATTTTAGGTCATTTCGTATTTTTTTGAACTGATACCCTTTTAAGATATGAGATCTATTAAAAAAGGCGCATAATCACCAACGTGCAAAAGCCAATGTTTTTGCTATAAATCGGGCAACAATGGTCTACACGACCTGTAATAAACAGGTATAAAGGACGTTATTATCACAATACTTATGACATTGCTCACTTTTTAAATTTAGTTTCCATGCGTTATACAAAAAAATCGAAATAAATTAATTTGGGATAGAGGGGGGATCGGATGGAGGGGGGATTTATATATCTTTACGATGGAACAAATTCACAAGAACTCGTGTATTTGAAAAAACTAACAACTCAGTACGCCAGTAAGAAACTGGATATTATATCTCTGGAGAATGAAAAATGGGAAAATTTGGAGTCATTAGAATAAATTCAAGTAGCATGTCTTATCATGTCTTATATACACGTGAGCCCCCCCCCCCCCACTCCATCCGACACCCCCCCCCCCTCATCCCAAATTAATTTATTTCGATTATTTTTTGTATAACACATGGAAACTAACTTTAAAAAGTGAGCAATGTCATTAGTATTGTGATAATAGAGAATTTTCGTTATACGTATTGATTCTACTTTTACGGATACGTATACGTATGTTTATAAGTATAAGTATAAGTATAAGTTACAGATTAAAATCATGTTTCGTTATAAGTATAACATTATTTTACTCGTGGTTCTGTATTCCGATTAAATTACATCAACAACGGCCGGTATAATGGACATACAGTTCTAACACTATGTCACTGGGTGTTATGAATATCAATGTATGCAAGACAATGAAGAAAAGATAAGGTAACTTCTTACTTATAAACCCTGTTCTGTAAAAAACGTATAGCCTAACGAATAGAGAGCGCAAGTTGTGATGACGTATTATACAAAAGCCATGCGTATAAGTAAGGGGGCCAATTACGTATAACGAAAATTCTCTAATAACGTCCCTTATACCTATTTATAACAGGTCGTGTAGACCATTGTTGCCCAATTTATAGCAAAAACATTGACTTTTACACGTTGGTGATGATGCGCCTTTTTTAATAGATATCATATCTTAAAACGGTAGCAGTTCAAAAAAATGCTAGATGACCTACACTATATGAAATAGAGAATATTGCTGTGTTATAAGCAGTGTCTATTTGTAAGAATCTCTTGTAATGTGCAGTAATCAGCAAAAATACTCAGCACATATAAACAGAGACAATACAGAGACAATACTCGCTGCATATATGGAACACTCTGTATATTCAAGTATTGCTCCGCTTTATTTGTAGAACAGCACAAATAAGCACTGATTATACGTGGAGTTAAGAATACTCAAATATATGCAAACGCAATACTCTGTAAGTGTGCAATATAGTCACACGTTATAATTGCCTCTTTCTGACTATATTAAGCTATTTCTAAGTTGCTCTGCTCATTTTATAACTGAGCATACAAATAAATAACGGACTATTTGTGCGTATTTTTCTATTAAGCATGATAAAACAAGAATGTAAGTACCGTAGTTCTTTATGAATATGACTTTACCTGTGTATAATAAGCGACTACAGGATGGATTTCGAAATAATCTATTTTTATTTTACTTTAATTGTGATTTTTCGACACCTTTTAAGTCACACCGGAAAAGAGAGATCTTCCTTGGAGATCGCCCCCCCCCCGACGGAAAGCTGGCTACACCGCTGAACTTGTTATCTCTACTTTTAGAGTCAATGCAACCTAATTCTTCCTGAGAAGGTATTATAATTTAACAACCTGTTACCACCGTTCGTATTAAATCATGGATTATGCATAGGAATTCAATTGTTTACTTTTTCAAATCGCTGCTTTGTTTTCCATTCCCCATGATCAAAGCAAATGGTAGTCTAGACTCTTTTGGTCATGTTTTCGATTGCATTTAAAATCTGCACATTAATTCAGAACCATAAAATATAAATCACTGGAGCGACGTCCAACATATTTTAATCCGCTTAATAAGTGATTCTTGCCTTTGAATTAAAGCCCATGTTAAATTCCTCCCGGTAAAGCCGGTATTTAGAAAAAAATATGACAGGTAATGGAATCGAAAGAAGATTAAATCATTTTATAGTGTTTATGTTTCAATCAGCGTTGATTTCATTGTCTTATATAACTCATTTACAGGAGTTTTGTATTCCCGATGCACTTGGTCATAGTTTGCCCGGAATAGTTTGTTTATAATAAATTGATTTAAGTTTAAATAGAAAAGAAAGAGAGTATTCTAATTTGAATTTTAGGAACTGGGTTTCAAAAACCGGCTTTTTAACTTCAGTTTGAAACTGGCTTTTAATAACCCTGCTTTTTGAGAACTATAGATTGCAAATGCGGTTGCCTTTGTGTACTTTTCAATGTTTCTGTGCAGTTTTGTGAATCAAAATATCATTTTTTGATAACTTGATTATATGAGAATGAAGAGACAAAACCTGATCAGAGATACCCTTGTTTCTATTTTGAATTGGACCTTGCTTTGTTTTCCATTCCCAAATACATTCACAAAACTTTAATTCCTAATTATTCAATTCTTGCAAATGAGTTAAGTTCTCACTGATATTAATCCGTTTGATATAGTTAAATGGATTAATTTCTATAGCCAGTTTTTCTTAATCCCCATGCTACATTGTATAATTAAATTTCTTTTAAATTCAGAAATTAACCGATTATCTCTGAATAAATGCAAAAGGTAGTTCAACATTTTAAGGATACAACTGAACAAGGTGGGCATGGATACCGGGAGGGGGGACTTTAGCTATATTATTATCAGATGTTTGGATTGTTCACTTCTAAGGATGTTATTTTAGCGAGTAATGCAATCAGACGGCTTGTGCACAATGGTGTTACCTATAATTAGTTCTGGGATGATTTTTAAATCCATGGGAAAGTAATATCTGAGATCAAGGCATTTGTTGAAATAAAATATTGAGAATTTTAATACCAATTATATTTTCAATAATTTCATTTAGCGTATTTGATGTGAGTTTATCTTCTGCTTCCTCTAGCATCTGGGTTCCTAGTAAATTATGATCCCGGGATTATGATGTAAAGTAAAAAAGGTTTTTGACTTGTAATACTAAATGTACGTGTACTTTGTCGAAATCTCTATCCCTGATTAAAGCTTTAATTATCGCAAAATAATAAACAATTGTATCAAAATATTGAAAACTCAGTATTACATGTCAAATGACAGCTCTTATTATGTGAAAATGTGAGTAAAATACACTACATCTGCAAATACATGTATGCAATCGCATTCAAACTTGATTGATTTAAATTGATTGAATGTCTAAAAAAGAGCTTTAATAATATGTTTTACTTAAATCATGGTGAATGGCTTTCGAAACATTTGATTGCAACCCATATTTCAGTTTGGAACAAAATACTCAATCAGCGGCCGATGAATCACGGCAAATGTGACCCAGACATAAGGGAGGAAAATACATTTGACCCAATAATCCCCTGCTGAATCCCCATATAGATAATATACACCAAGGCCTACACAAATATAAAATAAGGGTCCGAACAAATATTTTACAACTAGATAAGCCATTTATCTGATTAAATTATGTCTATCAATCTCTTGATTGCAGATTATTAAAGAGATACATGTATTATGTTGGGAGGGGGTCAAGGATCTTGACGCAAGATAATACAATTCTTAAATCATCAGAATGTCATTCAGATTTACTATGATTAAGCTTGTTATTTGAATTAAAACTGAATACATCAAAAAGTGAATTATTAGTTTGTATTTTGAATGCTAAGAATGAAAAGTAATTCTATACAAATCACAAATACCACTCAAAACAATTCCTGGTTTCAACTATCAAGGTGCTTCTCCAAACATCCGGCCCCTATGTGCAATTGTGTCAGGTAATTAGTAATTGTTTATGTTTAGATTACTTATTAGAGATGTCAAATCATGGGTTCATAAAAACAGCATTATGACTGTTCAATAGCAGCAAAATGTCGCAAAATTTAGTATTTTATGTTTTAACAATATACTTATATTTTGTTATTGAATAACTAAAAATGAGGGGGTGGATATTGAGCAAACTTCATGTCTCCGAGCTATGATGCGCAAGTAATAATCGTACGTGACACGCACACAGGTGGTTGACAGGGAAACATTAAGCTTGCCAAATGACCAATGTCTGTTGAGTAGTAAATAATCATAAAGCCATACTGTGAGAATGTCTACACATTGGCGCAATCATGGGCTTTGATTAGAAGCCCATGTCGCAATTTAGCCAGTCAGCCATTTGCTCCACGCCAGACCCAGGAACACGACGAAGCCTCTCGTAAGTGAAACTTTAGCTTGCTTTTTATTTCCCTTAATGGATAGATGATTGAGTTTGATAATGAAAAAAACCCACAATAAAGACACCTGGCAAATTGTTGTAAACATAAGATTTGGCATTGATAATTTAATAAATTGATTGTCTTGGAAGGTCCATGATATTGTATGGCTGAACAGTATGCTATAAACTAATGTCTTTGTATCATTGAATAAAATACACAGCAGTGTCTTTGTATCTTCAGAGGAGTGTCTCCAGAGCAGTGTCTTTGTGTGCAGTGTCAAATTTCCCGCAAAATAGAATTCATGTGATAGCTGAATTTACATAGATATTGAGAAACGTGTAGAAGACACTAGGATGAAGAAGAAAGGAGTTTGAATGGAGAAAGCAGAATTCGATATCGTACGAGAATTTGCTACCGGAAGACAGGCCATATCTTGCTACAAAAAACACAGTTTTCAAGATTGAGCAATATGCGTACATTGATTTGGAGCATAAGTTCGCACCATTTTAAAGATAGAAATATAATGTTACATCATGTACAATGCAATGTAAATATATTCGTTTAGCAGTATACGGGTTTGGCCAAAACATAATGAGTAAATAATCCATTTAAAAGTAAAATCATTATTAGGCTTATCATTCGAGAGAGAATATAATTTTCAATGATTTGAAATAGGCATTCATATTTTTGCCTACAATAATTATGTATCATTTAAAGGAAGAAATATAATTACAGTGCAATGTAAATATGTCTATATATGTATCAAGCGATATGAAAGGTGGATCAAAACATTCCCATCATCAAGCGATATTATTTCAAGGGGCTAATAAGTTGTAACAATGATTTTCTCCCTGTATCATGACATGTATACTATTTGAAGTTATTACTTATAGAGGTCGTCTCATTGGCCTACTCTGTACATAGAAATCTAAAGAAATTTAAAATAAATTATAAAAACGTAAAAGCTGTTTATGTGCAATTTTTTCAAATCTCTTACCCCAAAAAACAAGTACAGTAAACCAAACCTATAGCTACAACACTCAAATGCTCATAAATAGGAATTTATATTAACAGATGCCCAATTCACAAAACAGCGTCTACCAGTCCTCCTAAATAAGCAAGAATATGTCAAATATACCGATCTTGACTCTATATATGCTAATGTAGTTAGTTTATATTCTTGTGCATGTCTCAATATACTCACATGCTGCATATTACTTATATCAAAATATGCAGAAATACTCATGAAAAGTGGCATATATGCAGATCATATGCAAATATAATCAGTTTTAATTTTTATATATATCTAGTATACTCAACTGCTTATATTTGTCTATCCCAAATAAGCAGGTATGTGCAGTTTCAGCGCTGCATATAATCACAAGTAAACAGCAAATATGCAAAGTATGTCTGAATATAAGCAAATATACTCAGTGACAGTATCCGTATATGCAGTCAGTATTCTCCGTGGATGTTTGTTATATGCAGCTGCATATATGTGTGTTCCATATATGCAGTTATTGTCTGCGTTCTGTCAGTGATGATTACTGGTTATAACATGCAATTTGAAGCAAATAACCACTAGAATTGCTCGTTATTTGCAAGCAATATTCGTTATTTTATGCAGTGCTAACATATTTTGCCATGCACTGCGCCTATTTCAGTTGTATTGGCAATTCAGTCGCGGCAATTCAGTCGCAAATTTTCTCTTGAAAAAATAAATCTTCCTAATTTGTTGAGTTTTCTTGCAGAAATCGCCTAATCCCCCTCCATCATTTTTGTGCGATCACCGGGCTTGAGTCTTGGTCTCAGGTAACCAACAGCTCATGAACCTATATGATGTGTTTCACAAGAGTAACTTTGATAGAAGGCCAATTAAACCATACATCTAATAATTGTCTTAGCTTGAAACTTATGTAAGCTTGTTTTTTACGCACAGACTTATCTTTATCGCCATCTGCGTTATGCTGTAATACAGTCCAAAGTATTCTGTTTCATATCGGTCTTGGCTTGGTCTCAGGCAACCAACAGTTAACCTATATGATGTGTTTCTCAAGAGTGACTTTGATAGATAGCCAATGAAAATAACACATCTAATAATTATCTTAGCTTGAAAAAGCTTGGTTTACGTACCGACTTATCTCTATCCCCATCCGCGTTATGCTGTAATATGGTCCACATATTCTGTTTCATGTTAGTTGCTCTTTCATACATTGGACTGCCGGGTGTCAACCCTTTTGCCTCTACCATATTCTGAAATATTTTTTTCAAATTAAGGATTTAAGCCGTGGATCCAGTGCATTGCGTACTGAATCATTTCATGGAAGTAGTTGGTTCCAAATCTTTGCAAGACCTCGCGGCAGGAATGCAAAGTTTAGGAAGCAACGCCTGTGTGGAATGAAGCAGCCACAATGCATTAAGTCTTTGGCTTGAACTCTTTTCACACGTAATTAGGCTAAATTGTAAAATATTTGATACGAAATCAGCCAAAAGGTACAAAATCACTTAAAGAAGTTAATATATATCAATTTCAATCTGTAGAGTCAAGTTGTCACTTTAACAACTGTTCAACAAGTGACTTCGAATGCGTTGATTAGTGATTGATTGATTGATTGATCGATTGGTTGATTGATTACAATGCATAGCAGTACTATGAAATACTGTGTTTGAATTGGCTTGAATTTGACACACCTTGCCTATCTGTGTGAATGAATATATTAATGCACTCTTATTCATGTAACTTACAAGATCATACTTTACAAAATTACATGTACACTTTTTATAATATTTAACAAATAATTGTAAATACCATTATGTGGCACCTAATACTCCCTCTTGGGGGTCATAGCCACTAAAACCTGTAAATATATTGATTTTGATAAAAAAAAATCTACGGATGGCTCTCTCATACATTGAACTATCGAATGCCGACCCTTCGCTTTATTACCATTGGGGGATCCAGGGGGTAGGCATAGGGCCAACCCCCCCCCCCCTTGGGGTCTCCCTCACGGTGGGTTCCGATGACCTCCTGGAACTTTAATTGCATGGTCCTCTTTGAAGTCCTATTGACATGCTAACGCAATTAATATATCACATACAAATAAGGTTGTAGACCTTATTTAGTAAAAACTCACACTGATGTTTTGACTAAGAGCCCAATTAGCATTACTTGACAAGATTACGCGAGTGTTTCATTTATAAAATTTATTTTGGCGACAATGGAGGGTGATATTGACAATAACAACAATTAAAAAGGATACGTACATCAAAAAGCTTGTTGAAGTCCTCGTTTTCAATTGATCCGCTGCCGTCCAAATCTGCAAAACATGTATATAATTACTTGATTTTTATAAGAATTCCCTATACCAACTGACGAGGACATCTCCCCTTTAAACCCATGGGCGTAGCAAGGGATATAGCATTGAACCTCGGCTATTGTCTCACCAAAATAAATAAAGATAACCTGTTTCATATATGTATTTCTCAATTGAATTACGTCCAACTGTGATACTCTGTAATAACCTATTTTAGCCTTTGACTAGGTTGTTATTGTTTTGCCCTCATTTTACATTTCCCGTTATCCCTTTGACAACGGGGATCATGAGAAACCACCAAAAGACAACGTTTCTATTGACGAGTAAGGGGATCGCATTACCATAGTAAGAAGTATATGTGTTGCACAAAGTCTGCTTTTTAAGTTGAAAATAAATTAGATTTAACCATTACTATTTTAGATCTTTTCGTTTATCAAACCATTTGGATTTGTTTGCGTTAAGAATGATCTAAGTAAAAGTATACGTATTGTTAAAGAAATGTACTCACCAAACCAAATTTCAAACTGATACTTCATTTTCGACATCCAAAAAGGATCGTCTTTGAAACCTGTCGTCGCCATGCTGAAAAAGATGTGTGTCGCTTGCGTTGAGAAAATGCAAAGTGAATTGGCCCAAAATATGATATGCTTTATACAGTATAAATGTGTATTAATGTTTTATTAAGTAATTACAGGGTGTGCCAAAAAATGGTACGCCTTTACATTTGAACTTTTGAACTTTTTCTGGCTTTTAATCATGTGTTTTTATGACGATGGTGATTCATTTGAATTGAATATGAAAAAAACGTTAAAATCTTGATAATTAGAAAAAAACATGACAGAATTTTAAAAACACGCATTAGAAGAACATGATAATGTCAAGACGAATGATCAAAATATTTCATAAGAATTCATCGTTTTGAATATTGTTTCGTTTCATACATTTTCGTAACAAAATGAGTTTGGGAAAATAATAAGGCTCTTAACATCAACGGACGATTTTATCCGACTTTGACAAGGTATTCAATTTGAACTTCCTGTTTCCAAATTGAACCTGAAAACCTCTATCGATTTCTGCATTAAGTAGCATTAAAATGGCATGAAAGGAGCTTAAATAAAAGATTACTAAGTTTTCGCCCACCCTGTATATGGATTTAAACGTGACCTAGTTTGGCTTATAACCAGACACAGCTGGGGCCTTGTAGGTTCCAATTCAAACGTGGACAAGTTTATTATTACAGTAAGGGGTTAATGACGTGCATTTTATATGAAACGTATTATATAAAAATAAAAACGAGATCAACAATACAACATTTCCTTGGGAGGTGTGGGACAAAAATCCCCTAGGAAATGTATTATATTTTATTTTACACCGGCACGTACATCGTTCGCTTGGCTTTCGTTCAGTTGTTATATACATGTAGTTATATGTGCTATCATTTTGATACAAGCATTTTGAACATAAACGACAGGGGTACTTTCCAAAAATAGCCAGTTTATACGTTATTACTTAACACAAAAATGGCCAGATAAAATTCCAAAAACAATTTAATTGTATCATATGGTCGATCAAAAGTAAATAGAAATGTTTTGTTGATACCATTTTTAAATATCAAAACGGTCCCTTTTATCACGGGCTTGTACAATCAACTTGTTAATCCATGTTTTACAAAACGTAAATGTTGTTTGTGTTATATTATACAATTTAGGGTATTTAAATGCATTGACCGAGATTTATTTATCCAAACTAATCCATGAAGACATAGGTCAAAAGGCCAGTTCAAGTTAAACTCTTGCCGGATACTACCGTCCGAATTGAACGTTCCGATTGAGGTTAAAAGTTATAATGTACATTGTACCATAACAAATCCCAAATTACCCGTAGTACTTAGTGGATTTGATTTTCTTTCTATTGATGTACACAACGAACAAACAAAGGCGCTGAACAACGCGATTCATTATGTGCTTGTTTGGAAAGTATTAACTGTTTCTGGCGTTATTATGAATATTTTTTGGCTAAGATTAGGGAGTAAAATGCCTAATGGGGCTCTCAAAGGGTAGATACGACGTGTTTGTTTTTAGTTTTTATTTACATTTTCCCTAAATATACATACTTGTATGATATACATGTCAAGCGTTTCCTCAAGCTAAAATTTCCCTTATACATTGGTCTTCTGTTGGCCTTCCACTATCGACACCATTATATATTTTATATCTTTACTTTTTATTTTAGAGAAATAATGTTTATACAGTTACATAGAACACTTAGCGTTTACAATAGTGTTTTGATTGCACTAGCTTCAGTATGGACGTTGTCATTACCCAGGAGTAATTCAATTTACTGGACTAAGGCGCATTTGAGAAAACCCAAAAATTTAACCGCGCTGATTTTGATTTAACCCTTGGCTTACTGCACTATACAATAATTTAGTCATGCATTCGTTAAAAATAATATTTATAAGTACACGTTTAATTTTTCAAGACGAGTGGTCAATATGCAATTGATCCAAGTACAGTTTCAGCAAAATATGTCGGCCATTTTGATTTTTACCATTCTATTCCAGTTTACGCATATCATTTTATCGTTTACGCCATCCATCATAATTTACGTCGTGAAAATTTAGAATTTGAATTTGCGATTATAATTTAACCTTAGGGAGCCCCATCATTTTAACTACCCTTGGCTTGCTATGCAAAGGTAAGCCTTTTAATGAGTATGGTGTGCGCACTAGTCTATATAATGTATTGCACAACTAGGGTCGAACAGTAATATAGCAAAGTTTATAATTGAGTTTTTAGTCATCCTCAACTTGTCTGTATCATTTATTGCATGTTTAAATAAATAGACAAATAAACAATCACCAACCTGCTCGTGGTAAACTGTATGCTGCTCTCTCGAAATTCAAATTCTGGTCCGAGAATGTCATTCAAAATGTCTTATATCTCAATTTGATACTAGGACACTGCTTTGTTTATAATCAGCTACGTGTATGGTAATTGCTGATTATGTTGGTACCCGTATCGGTATACATTTTATGTACAACAGGTTATTAGAATAAAGTAGTGTCTGCCAACCCATTCTGATACTCATCATATCTTTTTGCTTTCAACTAGAAATATAGAGAAGCTAACAGAAGGCCATGATTTCCCATGATACCGCAAATCAATTTTGGCCATTTTAGGAGGCCTACATCATTTTGATACTGTAAGATTATATGGTGGTTTATACGTTTAATTGCAGTTGTATGTGTTTTCATCGTTAATACTCTTGAAGGTAAACGTTTGTTGGGGAGGAGTAATTGTTATTACCAGGCTTGTCCATTTTTTCCTCATTCATTAAAAAGAAAAACTAAATATTGTTAAAAAGAGGCATTATAATACATTTGAGCTTATAATATGCCAAATAAAGATAAGTAAATTCCCTATACACTGGTATATAATATGATATGTTTCCATCAATACTATCAATATTTATTTTTGAAATACGAGTGTCCCATTTTTTGGACTAAAACTAAAACATATTCTACTAAAAGCATATAATAGCACCTGTATTGACAAATATATGTGAACTTCATGTACCATTTTAATGAGACTAGTAAAAAGTTATCATCAAACATCTCGAAAGAATTTACAATGCTTGTTTCATACTGTGATATAATTTACAACAGCAATGTACAGAAGCTCTTGAAAGACTACACTATAGAGCAGCATGCCTAGTTTCAGGTGCTACCCATGGGTCAAAAACTGATAAGGTACCTTCTTCTCTAAATTGGAAAAAGCTGGCACCAAGAAGAGATGAGCACTTAAGAAAATGCATTTCTAAAGTGTGCTTTATTCTTTACCTCCCTTTATTTGTGTTGTTGCGAGGACTTACGAAACTGTTCATGCTAGACGACTGAGAGATCAGCCAGATAATCAGATGTCATTCCATACTTGTGTTTCGACTAAAAATCTACACTTTTAGTTCAATCTCAGCTTGGAATGGGCTTTTACCAACTATCAGAGTTGGACAGCCTATCCCAAGCTTCAAGATCAGTGAGGAAGAAAATGATCCGGTTTCTATCCTCATCCACATCCAAAATGGAATACACTATCACTCTATCCGGACTATACGAAAGCAAGCGGTGTGGATGTTATGTGAGCAAGGTGCGGATATTAACAGTCTTTTTAATTAGATTTCCTGATATCTCACCAACTAAGGCATGTCGGGTACTCAATTTTATCTATACATGTGTACACATTCCCTAATAAAAACGAAATTGTGTAAATAGGCTTGTGATTCGTTCTATAGCGACACGTCAAGCAATAATACTCTTTCCAAAGTAAGTAATTTGAAATCGCAGTAAACATTTAATATTGGTGATCGAGATGACCTATTTATATCATATTTGCATTTTGAAATTGAAAGATTTCTGTGTGATTTTATGCGAAATGGGAAACATTAAACAAAAATCGATGTCCACACTGCCTTTTAGAGGTAGAACATTTCTGATAAATGTTTCCATTGTTTTAAAAAATTCACACACAAAGTTCATTACATTCAAAACGCAAATGAAAATAATTATATCGATTGGTCATCTCGACTAACGCGGCTGAATTAAGGCTGTCAAACAATTCAAATAATTTGCTATGGAGCAGAAATAAATGCTTAGTGCGCCGTTAAAGAATACAACTATAGACAAAATTTTCCAATTATAAGTTATCTTCTACAGGGTGTCAAATAAGTCTGTTCTCCCCCCTTAACTTTTTTATCTTTTAATTTATCATACTTTCCCATATATCATTTTGAAGCTCATGGAAAATGCTGATCACCCTCAAAAAATCAATCATAAACTCCTCCCAATAAAATTGCTACAATGTTTCTTGTAGGGTTGTAGTTGACCTTTAATTACGTCAAAACAAGCAAAATTACCAGGTATAGTGAATGAAATGTGAAAAGTTGATACTGCAGTGACAATGCAAACATTGGGTGATTTTGATGTTTCTCAATATCAGTACAGAGTAAAATGTGTTACATTCAGGGAGCCTTTGAAGCAGGGGCATCTCTCATCACAAAATAATTGATAACACCTAAAATTAAACTTTCTGAATGATTTATACAGGATCATATCCTCGTAGAATTGAGGCCCTACGGGCTGCTGGGGGAGACATACAGACTATTAAAAAAGCGAAATATGTACATTACTAAAAATACTCTAAAAAATTTGGAATTTAACCAATCACTCTGAAATTTGGTGTGTGATCAGCAAATTAAATTCCCTTTAAGATGATATATACCAACCCTATGTTATCTCTGAATTAAAAAAGTTAAGGGGGGAGAACAGACTTATTTGACGCCCTGTATAAATAAATGACTATAATTGAATACCCAACATGCATGAGTTTATGAAATATCACAAATTCAAAAATGACCTTTAATGTCTCGTAGACGCAAATAATATACGTAAATGTGTAATAAAGCAACAATTCAAATAATTTGCTTTGGCGCAAAAATAAATGCTTAGTGCGTCGTTTAAGAATAAAACTATAGACAAAATTTTCCAATTATTAGGTATCTTCTATAAATGAATGGCTATAATTGAATACCCAACATGCCTTAGTTTATAAAATTTCACAAATTCAAAAATGACCTTTAATATACGCATATTGCGCACACGATATCCGCACCGCTATTTTTCGTATAGCACAGTCTGTGTAAGGTGACTATGCCAAGACAAACAGGAATGATATTCAACAGAACCACCATTTACCACAATTATTGATCACAATTGTGGTGCAGCTCAACGTACTACTCTTCATTTTAACCAAATGTCCGCTACTCACAATCGAAATGGAATTGCTTCTTGCAGGACTTGATAACTCGAATGTCTGCCCAATTTCAGAAATTTAACAATCTCTAAGAAATGAGACACACTTTTGTCTGGAGATACCATCATTAGTGACGTAATGAAGGGAAAAATTATTGACATTGTGGCTCATGTTGTCTCACTCTCAGTATTGAACAACCAGTGTAACATTCTAAAATACTTTGGGAACCTTTTGGGTTGAAGTGGGAGTAGACATACATAGAGACACAGAACATACTATACTACGATGTTTAGTATTATTTAAATTCCTGAATTATATTTTATGTTATACTTTGCCGCTCATGTTATTAAGTTAACAAAGACATACATTTATATTTGTATCAATATCCAGGACCTTTAACTAAATCGAAATTGAAAAAAACTCCATGTAATAGTATTTGACTTGAATATAAGGCCGTTGTTGTATAATATAAGGTTCATTGTAGTTATTTTTCTCAGATTGGTCATGATCTAGATTAGTGTGCTTCTTATCTTTTATTCTTTTTATAATTACATAGCGTCCATTAATTATATTTTCCTATCAGCATCTTGCCGAGAATATTTCCAGGAGAGTTCATATCAGTCGAGGTTGAAAACTGAATGCTACACGTATTCCAGAATTCGCGATCCATAGCAATACGTCCACCCTGAAAATCAAATTGTGGATGACATGAAATGCTTGTTTCGGGGTATCATATGTAAACTAACTGTCAATGTTAGGAAGGAATATGTAATGCTACCTAAGAAAGTAACAATATTACCTTTACTATGAACATTTAATAATGACCTGGATTTGGCGCCAATGTTGTAAACGAAGCCAATAAATTAGTTTATACAATTAACTTCCTTTTGGAATAAATAAATATTTGATGATCTTAAAACATGAAATAATAAAAACAACCTGGAATTCAAACACGCCTGTCACATTATTGGGCTCATTCAAACTATTCAAAAGCAGATTGAAAACATTTTGGATAATCTACGTACATATGTCATATCATCGAAGCATTTTTCAATTACGTCATCTGGAATTTTGAATGGCCGATAAGCTGACACGAATTCGTCTTTCGTTATCCACCCATCGCCTGAAACAAAAGGAGAATTACAATATAATATATTTCACAACTGAATAACTTTTATAATTCAATCAATTACTAAATTTTATAAAACCAATGCCAGTTTAATTGAAATACTATATTGTAATAAACAGTTGAAAATAATACATCACCCTCTTTAATATTCAATATTTAGAACGACATTGGACGGATAAGGCAGTAGAGTATCAGACTTACCGTTCCCAAGACTGTCAAACACATCAAAGTAAAGGTCGAGGTAACTACTATACCAATAAGGTATTTTCCTGGTCTTTGCTTTAATTTCCCTGCACATATTCTCCATAGAATCAAGCCATTCGTCAACTGTCACCTTAAAAGTGAATGAGATTTGCAAATTTTGACAGAAATAAGAATTGGTAGAATCAATATTTAAAAGAGTGATCATTTTGTTGCAGTCTCTCTGGAACAGGTTTACTTACATTTATTAGAGTATGACCTCAGAAATGCGTCAAAAAGTTAATCTTTTTCTCATTCCACTTGTTACAAAAAGATGTCCACCACTTTCCTTGCACATCTATTTTCTGCACATCTAACCCTAACCAGAAATTAGTTAAATTCATCGCCATGAACATATTAAGTCATCTTTTGGTCCCTTGTCCTTGTCTTTTCTTATACCTGGTTCTTAAAATCCTGTCAAATAGGCCAAATTGCCATGTTTCAAGGCATATGGTTACCTCAATTGACACAATGTAAAAATTTGTGAGATTGATTGACATGTGTCAGATATATGCCAATCAACGTAACTTTGGAAGACCTTTCCAATGATATATCACACTTGGTACAAAAAATCTTGGTTTTGGCTGTAGATGGGGGGATGGGACTTATTTGACTTATTTATATGATATAATTCAGTTATGGTTAATGGAAAATGTAAAATAACCTTTTTGTCATAGTTTGTATCTGCACTGCGTTTGAGCTCCCTCCAAAGGTCGCGCATGGTGTCAAAACATCTTACCCACATAGGACTGCCCTCTGACCACTTAGTCAATGCAATAATATTCTAGAATAGAATATAAAATCATAAAATTAATATTGGGCTATACTATCTATTGGATGTTTAGATTTCTCACATTTCGTGTTAGTTCATTGCCATTCGTGTCACTGTTTTTTCACGCTTCTCTTAATTGTTGTCCCCTTCTCGTATTTCCTCGTCATTATAAACGACATAGGACTCTTACAGAAGGGTGTGGAGATTTACACCCGATACTTAAATAAATGAGGCCTTTATGAAAGTATTAGCATACAATGATTATAAAAACAGTTTCAAGATCCACACACACATGTCTTAGCAAAATAACATACGTTTTTTATTACAAACTTAACTTAGAACCAATTACCATAGCGTGTTTATGAAAATCCGTTTTTTCAACAACTCCATTTCTGTTTTGATCTGCAATTAGTAATAAAATCTGATACACATACTACCTTGGTTGTTTATATATATTATAATTAGTAACTAGTAGTGCGGTACAGAGTGTCTCAAAAAATGTTACACTTACAAAAAGTTCAATATCTTTCATAATTTTGACTTTTCCCTGAAATGTACTTTGGATACCAAAAGACAAATCTTTCCCCAATAATTTGACACCATCAGATTCAAAATCTGTCCTTGATTGGCTCCACATGACAGCTTTTAGTGTCCCATAGTAAAATCTGACTTGCGCCAACTTCTAAGTGATTGGATGGACCAAATGACAAAAGAGGAACAGTTTCTTGAACATTTAACTTTCTTCTGAGCAGAAGCTTGACCTTTAACTAAGTCATTCTGTAATTTTTCTATGTGTCTTACATATGGTCATTGGGTGTATCCACATAAACATGTGGTCCCCTCAACATGTTGAATGTGATAGCAAATCTTAGGATCTGAGGTACCCTTGCCTATGCGAACATGCATTGTAATATCACACTGATTCCATCAATTATTTTTGTAGAAGTTCATTTAGATTACTTGGTGATGCTTTTAAACACTTTCAGAGGCCCTTTAAAAAATCAAGGGTGTAAAGTGTGATGACCCTGGGGGCCAATCAATTGGGTAATTCAATGCTACTTTCTGATTTTCAAAGAGTTCTAGCAAATGATCTGCCACAGGCCTTTGTACCATCCTGTTGCCATCAAACGTAACAAAATTGAACCTTTGACAATGAAATATTGTATTTCTATCCAGGAAAGAAACAACTGGATCATTGATCATATCAAGATATCACTGTCCACAGCATTCACACCAAAAAAGAATTGATCACCACATGTCCACCCACTGAGAAGTTGGCGCAAATCAGATTTCACATGCGTCTATAAAATCTGTCCTGTGCATCCAATCATGGACGGATTTTGAATCTGATGGTGTGGATTTAATCGAGAAAGGCTGGTCTTTTAGTATCTAAGTATATTTTAGGGGAAACGTCAAAATCATGAAAGATATTGAACTTTTTGTGAGTGTAACATTTTTTTGAGACACACTGTATAAGATTAAATAAATACTAATTTTTCTAAAACTCGTGTGATAACTTTAAAGACATGCCATTTTAATAAAGCAAGATGATATAGGTTTAGATAAATATTATATAAAATATTAATACTGATCTCTATGGCCGCTCTTCAAGGAATCATATATGTAAACTCGGCTACACCTACATTTTTACAATAGATCATCACTAGATAATTGGCTATCGAAGCCACTTACCGAACCAGACATAAAACTCGTGTCGATGTTTTTCCTCCCAGAACTCAGTGCGTTCAAATTCAGTTTCATAACCGACTAGCCTGACCAACATTTCTCCTAAAATGTTTCCAGGATTTTTCATATCCGTGGAAACTGTGAATCCAACCATCATCTCCCGGAAAAGGTTGATATCCAAGTTTAGTTCTTCATCCTGAAATAACAAAAAGTATTGTCTCTTTGTTTGTTCGGTTGTTTATTTGATTTGTAATGGTCCCAAGTCAAAGTAGATAGTGTTATTTCTGTGTCCACATGAAATTTCCAAAACCAAAAGAGTTCATTATAAAGTATTGTCATCAATTTCAGAAAGAAGAAGAAATGATAAGGGTAGGCTGCAAACGAGGTCAATTTTAAAAATGCATTATGCCATAGCATTCTCCTCAGACAATCAATGATGTCATATTGTTATTACTCATATAATATCTTACCTACCATGGATATATCTTGAGAATAACTTTTGGGTATATAATTGGCGAAATATCGTAAATAATCAACAGGACAACCAAACTCCAGAATTAAACACAATCGAGTCCTCGGCTATCAAGGGGAATCCCCATTGAGTCACACAAGCGCCTTGAACCAGGGAGCCAATCAGGTTCATGATGAACAAATTCAACGACCAATTAAATAGCCGGAGGACTTTCCCATAATATTCAAACTTCAGATTGAATTAATTTCTTCGAAAATAATTAGATCGGCCTGCACAATCGCAAAATTAACACTAAAAGAGGGGGATTTGGGACTTTGGTAAGAAGATGGGTATATATGTAGTGAAACTCAATATGCAAAATGGTCCAGAGGGGTCTTGATTTTGTGCTATCCTATGGGCCTCTTTAAAGCAGAAATGAAATGGTATTTTTAACCTAAAGGAATCAATATAATTTTTTGATAAAAGTATTTGGACATGTTTTCTCATCTGTAGTAAAATTATTTCACTCTAACGATCGTTATAGCTGCTTTAAATAAGCAATATTCGAATTGGTTGTTACGTTATTGGCCCTCACGTGATCTCTCTCTGGTCCCCATGTGACCCGTTTTGGTCCATTAGATCATGACGTCATAATGCCAACATGTTTTGTTATTTGTTTACACGAGAATCCTATGGCTGCCGTGTAATATCAGAGGGGGAGAAACACCAGGGTTCAAAAATGACATACGCTTATAATGTAAATCTGTATTGAGATGACATCGTCGCTGATTGGTCAAAAGTCGACAAACAAATGAAATACGCTTCGAATAATATTATGTTCATTTCTGGCGTGTTAACCAATATCATAGCTTTTCATTTCACATCAAGATAAAGAAAGGTGTACGGAATATGCCTATATCAATTAGAACATCCCATCGAAGTGTAGTATTTGATAACCAGCCGATGAAAATTCGAACGAACGAAGGTGGTACGCAAGAGAGGTAACTATGTCTGTCATCTTTAAACTCTGGGGCTTTCCCTCCTCTTGTTGTATATGACGTTACAAATTACATGGGGGCCAATTTGATTGATCAGTTAGTTTATTTCGTTATCAATGGCCGTTAGCAGTTATCTAACATTTATTTTATGATGGCTATCGCAAGAACTCTACGTTTGGCTTACAATGGAGAAAACTGCATTTTTGTAGCTGCAAGTTGAGAAAAGCTATTTCAGTTGTCCTTTAATATGTACCCTTAAAAAATGTTTTATCGTGTGTGAAATCTGTCGCTATTCTTATATGAGGAAGTGTAAGTACCTTTGTTATATTCGAGAATGTAGCTTCCACTATGTTAAGGGGGATGCCATACATTCCATTGTAAGCCGCGATAAACTCATCCCTATCTATCCAGCCATCTCCTGCGTAAAATAACAATATTAAATAAATGTTGCCGGAAAGTTTGATACATAGTATAAAATTATATTTTCACAAAATCAAGACTCCGTACCACTTGTTAAATAAATATAACTATAATGTGTGTTGAGAACCTGATTTCACCATTTCGAAAAGTATTGTTTAAACTGTAATGTAAAATTATTTAGCCCATCGAGGATACCATTTATTGTGATGTTTTCTAAAATTCTCCAAAAGTGGATGATTTATTTCAGAAAAGACGTTTCCATGGATTTGCTATGGCGATCTACACTTACCATTCGTGTCATAAAGCCAAAAATTTACTTGGAGGAATTCAGAGTACCAAAAAGGTAATTCCCCATCAGTATTGTAATTCGTTGCAAAATCTGACCAAAAGCCACACCATTCGGTTATAGTTATCTGTAAATAATAAAGCACAGGGGGGAGTTATACCAAGGTGTTAATATGAATGAATACGCCATGTGGTTATTGTCTCAAAGACACTATTTGTTGGGTGATCGTACCTCCCTGAGCAGCCCTCTAGAATTTTCTCCAAATACAATGCTGATTTAGTTCTATTTAAGACTTTGGAGGTTCTCCACACATGAGACATGAATTCTCTGTTTTCATTCAAATCGTACTAATTTTGTCATTTTAACATAATTATATTATGCCGATATACAATTGTTAGGTAATTTGAATACCAAAATGCATTCAATAAAAACTGAATTATGTTAACTTATTTTCATTAACCTGGTCGTCTTTGTCCGTATCTCCAGCCCTTTTTAGTTCCGCCCAGAAGTTGTTTTTCATGTCCTCGACTCTCTTCCACAATGGACTTCTATGAGCCCAACCCTTAGAACGTACGACCCCCTATAGAAAGTATGTTTCGGATATAACAACGTGAATATTCGACACCTAAATCTAGTTAATGCTTTAACAAGTTGAAATGCATAGCATTTGATGAAATAAAGTCATTGTTTTTGACAATGACTTGGACATTCTAGGAACTGTCATTGCTGTACATTTCGACTTTTCTTAATTCATAACAGAGTCGAATACATTGAAGATGCTATTTCAATGTTTGATATAATAACGTTTCTCAAAATATAGGAAAGTGCAAGTGGAATAATAATGATGATGTTATTTGTGGAACGTTATTTTTAAACAAGAATATGTGCTACATACCTGTAATATATATTCGAAATCCTTCTTTTGAATAACTCCATCTCGACTACAATCTAGAAATGAACAATGAAGTTATAACTACCATGCACTACATTCAATGCAATTCTGGCTACAGGCCCTTGTCACCCTTCCTTGCATTGCAAACATCCTTACAATAAAGTAAATCTGCTTGTGAAATATAGAAAAGGGAGCTAAGACACTTGAAACAAGACTAGCCCAATGTCCAAGTAATGAATGAGTTGGTAAATTAAAAAGTCATGGCAATTATTTCAATAGCATAATTCTATAAATCGAAGTTATTACTGTGGAAAGCATTTCACTTATTTTAAATAATACGAGAAAAATAATATTTATAAAAGAAGGAAAGGTAAGTCAATAATAAGTTAACATGCAAACCTCTTGTATCTCACAAAATACGAGAATTAGCGAGATTACAAATATTATAAAGAAATTGCACTATTATAAAAGGATGATACTCACCAAACCACGTGTAAAACTGATGCCTCATTTTAGACATCCAAAAGGGATCATCTTTCATGTTCTTCGCCATCCTGAAAAATGAAGCATTCGTATACATTTTACAGCTGTGTTTAGTTACCCAAATATTAAATCGCTATTTTCATATTTTTGGTCAACAAATGGTACTAAACGTATTTTTATAATATTGGGTGCTTCACAAAAACCAGCTCTTAATTGTAACATTTACATTATATTAAATTAACTTTGAATTAATCCATTAATTACCTTTCTAAACGGCCATTGACCATCATTTCTCCTAAAATATTTCCCGGGTGTCCCATATCCTTAGAAACTGTGAACCCCAGCATCATCTCTTGGAACATATCCAGATTAATTTCTGATTCTCCATCCCGGAAAGATATTGTATTTGACACGTTATACCTATCCTGAGTATGAATATGTTTAGATTAAATGCGTTTGATCATCGTATACAAATGCATTTATATTTACCTTTACATGATCGTTTAGAGAATTTATCGACTCTATATTTCAATTTTTTATATAATTATATTGTAATTAGAGTATAAGTGAATAAAATGAAACTTTAAAATGGGCTCCCTATGTCTAGGCCATGGACCACGGACTTTGGATATTCATCGGCGGTTTCATTTATTTTCATGAACAATACTTTTCTCGAGCTGTATGTTTGACTTAGAAAGAATGAGTACTTACAGAGGTAATCTTCTTGTATGCAGTTTTTACTATCTCCAGGGGAAGTTTGTGTGTTTCACAGTAATATGAAACAAAATCGCTAGCATCTATCAGTTCATCACCTGTATAATTCAAATTATGGTTTGACATAGTATTATATATATATATACTATAGAATTAATGAGAAGTATACAGCAGTGATCGACATTTTGTATTAAGGTTTGTCCAGACACTTAAAACACAGCATGGGGACAGTCAGGTCAGAGGCAGGCGAGGGTCGCCTTGTAACTCCTTGGTCACATTTGCTCCGATTCATCAGCCGGCTCCCTGCCGATTGAGTATTTTGTTCAAAATTGTATACAGCTTGACCAGAATACTCAACTGCCTGGGTGCCGGCCGATGAATGAGAGCAAATGTGACCCAGGCATTAGTAATGTTTAGATTCACTGAGGGATATATAATGTCGACCTCAACAAGGATCTCACAAAATAAATCAATTTTACTATCATCTAACAACACTGTGAAACAATTTATTAATTTTCGTCGAGATATCTCAATTTTCACCAGAGTGTAATTTTCGTGCGGGTTAAAACCAGATTTAAAGGGGAGCACCACCATGGTCACATGATCAGTCGTGTGGAGGTAAGCTCCCAGTTGAAATAAAAGCACTGTCCTCCTTTGGTTTATGTGAAAAGTAGCTAATACCCTCATGTATTGGTCAGTTTGTGTGTCACACGACTAATCCACACCATATGCTTCGTTCAACATATTTTATGCTATTAAAGGTCCGGTCACACCGCCTAAACGTTGCTGGAGCGTTCCTTGAACGTTGAAAAATATATAAACAGTACTGAAAGTTGCCATGTGTGAATACCGTTCCGGGTAGCAGGGTCCCTATATTTAAAAAAAATATATATATCAAGAAAACTACATAAAATATATCATTTCACCATGAAATTAATACACAAAGTAGTTAGGTTGTTGGTCTTTATTATTGGAATAATAGTAATTTTATCAAAAACCAACAAAATTAGAGCAGGGCGTCCAAGGGCGCAAGTTTACTGTCTCTACGAACTCATGCCAAATTCTAAGAAAATTGGGGATGAGGCCAGCGGGGAACATGGGGTAAAACGGCCATAGGGGCAAAACGGCCACCCTTTAATTTTTTTAGCGAGATGTTTTTTTGCTACCTTGTTGTCATGTGAGATTAGTTGGTCACGTGATCTATCTTTTGGGCGCCATTTTTGAAGGTGAGCAGACGATTTCCTCATTTTGTAGCATCTTATAGATCTACCCCCTTTTTTACATTTGATGCTAAGGAATTATGACTCATTACTGCCATGAATACCGCAAACATCTTTAAGTCAATACTTTTCATGATTAATAGATATGTTGATCTATTAAACAAAACAAAAAATACACTCGTATTTCCAAATGAACGCTCGTGGTTGCCTATCAAAGTTGTCACGTGGTCTGGGTGGCCGTTTTACCCCGTTTTGACTTTTTTCGTATTTTAATATTCGGAATGATTGTTTCAGACCATGGTAAGGCAGTACGAAAGAAGTACCACGAGGGGGAGAAACTCCTCCAGAGTGCCCTAACAGCCATTTGAAGAGGCATGTCGGTAGCAATGTCTTCCAAGTCTTATGGAATACCCAGAAGTACACTGAGGAGGTGCGATTTACCCTAAGTTATTCACCAGTCTAAAAATTAAATCAAGCCTAAAATATGTAATGAATTATCCAATTTATACAAGTGAGTACCTATGTATATACACTTTAAAAAACAGTATATCTTATTTTAAACCAATTACTTAATTCTATTCTGGAGGCGTTCAAAAAAGGGTTCCTTACTATGGCCGTTTTGCGCCATGTTCCCCTATTAGGAATAAATTAAATGTTACTTTGGAAATTGTATCTTTTTTAATGAAAATCTTACAATAAATAAGATGATATGATCATTTTCAATAGATTAAAATATGAAGTTCAACATCATAATGTTATAGAATGTAGCTCATACAAAGACATGTCTATAGTCAATGATTAATTTTGGAAACTGAGATAAAAGAACCTGAATGAGAAACGGGATTTAAAATACGCTGTCAGGTTTTTATTATGTATAGCTGTAGAGGCCCCCCAGTGTCCTGTAGATCGACCAATGTCCTGGCGGATGCCGTGCGGCCATCGGCCGATAGTCTTGCGATACCCGTGCGATATCCTTCTGATTTAGTTGTTTGCGGGCGCCGTACGATGCCTGTACTATGTGACCATACTCACGTCGAAATCAGGACATCGGGAAAAAGTCACCGGCGCCCGGTCGATTTAGAAATCGGCCGATGACTACTCATCGGCCGGCGCCCGCCCGTATATGTGACCTAGGCATCAGGTATCGGCAAATAAAACAACAAAGTAATACCTGGGTCACATATGCTCCGATCCGTCAGCCGGCGCCCGACCGATTGAGTGTTTTGTTCAATATTGTATTCAATTTTGAACAAAATACTCAATCGGCCGCGCGCCGTAGTAAATATTAGAGCAATTGTGACCAAGGCATAAGTCTCATTTATATTCATTACAAAAAAGTCAGTCTCACCATTCTTATCCATTATGAAAAAAGTCACTGCCATGAATTCTTTGTACCAAAAAGGTGTGTAGTTTTGCTTGTTGTATTGGACGGCAAAATTATCCCAGAAAATGCACCATTCACTCAGATTTATCTAAAAAATATAATAACACAAAGGGTTACATCTAAAAGCACAAAGCAAAGTAACAAATGCATTTAAGGACATTTAAACACAATACGTGATAAAACTACAGGTATATTTAAATCACATTCAGTCTCAATTCATTGACAATATCCTATGAGAATGACATCTGGAAATCTAGATATTCGAGAGATGTTGGCCATTTTGAATAAAACAACAATATCCGCATAATTTTTATCTTAATTTTATCTGAAACCTCTTAACCATACAAATATATACTAATATGACACCTTACGCCATAACACAATACATTGAGTCTCGGGCTTAAATTGTTTTCAAACATTTAAAAAAAATTCAAAATCATCTTACAGATACGAAATCAATAAATGAACATATTTTCAATGAAATCTTTTGCAAGAGTCAAGCTGGCGAAATATCAATTTCAATCCATAGAGTCTAGTCATTACCACGACAACCGTTTGATGGAATGTTACGTGAAATAGTGTGATATGATTGGATGAAATTGGACACACCTTGGCTAACTATGTGTGAATTTAGAATTTGAATCGCGAGGTGTGGTATTTTCAAAAAAAAGTCAAAAAATAAAACAAGAAACGTCGTGTACAAAATGTCCCCAGCAATGGGTGATCCCGTCAAATGGCTATCCCAAAAATGAGTAGACAAGACTTAAGCAACACAATATGAGGACGGGAAATCCAAAATGGCCACCTTAAATGTTATCAAGAATGCCATGACACTAATCAGTTCTAGATTTTCATACTAAGAATCATTCCTGAAAATTTGAAATTGATCTACCGAACGGTTCGACCGAAAACGCGTGGACAAGACTTTACTGACAAGATTTTAGGACGGAAAATTCAAAATGGCTGCCTTGACATTTACCCAGAATGCCAAAAAACTTACTTTTAGTTTTAAAAATTAGTCATATCTAGATTTTCATACTAAGAACCACCCCTGAGAATTTGAAATTGATCCGTCAAACAGTTAACCAGAAAACGTGTAAACAATACATGTGCTTTACAGACAAGATTTTTGGATGGAAAATCCAAAAATGGCCGTCTTGACATTTACCCAGAATGTCAAAAAACTTAGTTTTAGTTTTTAAAATTAGTCAGTTCTAGATTTTCATACTAAAAACCACCCATGAGAATTTGAAATTGATCCGTCAAACAGTTAACCAGAAAACGAGTAAACAAGACTTTACAGACAAGATTTTAGAATGGAAAATCCAAAAATGGCCGCCTTGACATTTACCCAGAATGTCAAAAACTAATCAGTTCTAGATTTTCATACTAAGAATCATCCCTGAAAATTTGAAAATGATCTACCAAACGGTTCACCTGAAAACGCGTCGACAAGACTTTACTGACAAGATTTTAGAACGGAAAATACAAAATGGCTGCCTTGACATTTACCCAGATAGCCAAAAAAACTAATGAGATCTAGATTTTCATACTAAGAATCATCACCTGGAAATGCATAGACAAGACTTCACAGACAAGATTTTAGGACGGAAAAAGTGATAATGAGTTTTTGCTGATTTCTTTTTACAAAATTATCACAAATAACCACCATTAACAATAACAAAGAATTTTACAACAAAGTACACCTGAAATTATTTATAAAGCTACTAAATAGTTCAAGTATGAAAACTCAAAAACACCATTCAATATGATACAAAGTATAACCGCACGCTAACTTTTCTTAAGACATTAAAAATGGCTGCCATGACTGAGCTTACAGGTCCAAAACCTAATCAGATCTAGAATGAAGTGAGCTGAACAAGATATTAAAGTTTTAAAAGCAACCGTGCAGCCGTTTTTCTTTAATTTTGCAGACAAGGATTTTAGCATTTGACTTCAAAATGGCCGATAGGAAGTAGGTATCGAGTTAAAATTTTTCAACCATATCTTTATGCACTCATAAGTTATCCCTGAAAATTTGAAGGTGAAATCTTTAGCGGTTTTGGAGAAAACAGCCGGTAGTACGGACGGACAGACAGACAAACGGACGGACGGACGGACGGACGAACGGACGCACCTAGGCCGACAATATAGCCCCACACTATGTGGTGGTGACATAAAAAGTGGTCGAGGTTCGAATCTTTTGGGCTGTTGATTATGAATTTATACTTATTTTCAATTTTAGAAAACTACGACATTTTGACATTTTCATTGTTGGAAAATATCGTGTTGTGTCGTCCCCAGGGAGCCAATCCTCCTTGTTCTGAAAGCTCTTATAATAGTTATTCAAATAAATATGAGGACCTTTCAAAAGTATAGATGAATTGTATTCATTATTTGCTTTCTTATAAAATACATCTATGCGTATGGAAACAAAAAAAATGACTTGGCTTCAAAATGTACACTTTCTGAAGAGCCATTTAGAAACTGGATGAAAATTAATTGGCCAGACGTTAAAATGACCTGCCTCCCCGCAGTTTATCTATTCGCTATAGGTTATGCAAACTTAAAGGATGTGAACATTTTAACAATTTTCATGAATCTGAACTTAAATTATGGATGCAGCATAATAAGCATAAAAATAATATAAATAACATTACATGGAATGGTCACCCTTTGGTTTTTTATAATTGGATAAAGAGAGGACATGAATGATATTGTCAAAAATGGTAGACTTTGTATGAGGAATTGATATGTGAAATTGGAAAAACCGGTCAAACTAAACTTCAATATAATATGCTGAAAGCTTGCATAAAACAGAATTTGTATGAATTAAACAACACTGATCAAACATTTTATTTTAACAATATTAATATTAAAAATGTATCATCACAAAACATCAGAGAGTCACTTGTTCAAAAAAGAATGTGCAAAATTAAATATAATGGCATAGACATATCTGAAGGAATATGGAAATCCATTTTTCATTGTACAAAAGAAGCATCATTGTTAGTTATACAATGGAAGATTTTGCATAACATATACCCTAATGGTACTTATCTCAAAAAATGTAAAATAGAAAATAGTGATTTATGCAAACAATGCATTGCAAGAAATGATAGCTTACATTTTTTTAGTTACTTGTCCTTCTATAAGTATTTTATGGCAAGGTAGCCAGTTAAACGATAAGGAAAAGTTAGGTCTGACTGAAACGATGCCAGATTTATTTTACAAAACGCTCATTATTAAGAAAACTTTTCATGATTTTAAATATAAGAACTGTGAAGGAAATGTATTATCTTTATACGAGGGCGAAAAAGCTCTCAGATTGTAAATATTTTGTAATGTATATGTAAATATGTTATTTGGAATAAAAAAGGTTATGCTAGCCTTGGCCTTAAACCCAGACTTAGACCAAGACAAGCAACAATTTACCTGTTTGATGTGTTTCACAAGAGTGACTTTGATAGAAAGCCAATGAAGATAATACATTTAATAATTGTCTTAGCTTGAAACTTATGAAAGCTTGGGTTTTTACGTACCGACTTATTTTGATCCTCATCTGCGAGAAGCCATAATATGGTCAACATATTCAGTTTCATGTAAGATGCTCTATCATACATTGGGTGGTCGGGTGACAACCCCTTTGCCTCTACCATATTCTGAAATATTTTTTTCGAATTAAGGATTTAAGCCCTGGATTCAGTGCATTGCGTATTGAATCATTTCATTGAAGTAGTTGTTTCCAAAATCTTTGCATGACCTCGCAGCAGGAATGTAAAGTTTAGGAAACAACGCCAGGGTTGAATGAAGCAGCCACAATGCATTAAGTATTTGGCTTAAATTCTTTTCAAACACAATTACATTGCAAAATATTTTTACTAGATCAGCTAAAAGTCACTATAATAATTTAACAAATAATATCAATTTCAATATGTAGAGTCAAGTTAAATACTTCATTTGTCATTTGATTCCCCATGGGTTCAGATGACCTCCTGGAACTCTAATTGCCTGATCCCATATGGAGTCTCATTGGCATCAAGCCATGCTAACGCAATCTAAAATCAGCTCGGGGTATATTTTATCTTATATTTTCAGACTGATTTTTTATCTCTTCTTTGAAATACAGGATATGGTCTTTTTAGTCTTCGGATGAACTTTAGATCCTTTTTGGCCTTTTTGGTATTTTACACACTGATATTTTGACTAGGATTCGTAACCATGTAGCATTACATCACAAAATGATAATTACTCATTTGAAGAGTCCTCCACACGAGCGTCTCATATTGCCTATTGTTAGGGGAAAATATGCTTTTGGAGACAAAGGGGATTAGTACAGACACTAACAACAATTAAAAATATACGTACATCGAAAAACTTGTTGAAGTCCTCTTGTTCAATTGATCCGTTGCCATCCAAATCTGAAAAACATTATAATTACTTTATTTTTACATAAATTCCATATATCAACTGACGAGGCCATCTCCCCTTTAAACCCATGGGCGTAGCAAGGGATATGGCATTGAACTTTGGCTATTGCTTCACCAAAATAAAATAATAAATAGCGTTTCATGCTTGCATGTCAATTAAATTACTGAAATGACGTGATACTAAAGAGTTCAAGCTTGTAATGTTTTTCACAACGTAAGGTCCCTGAACGCAAAGTAATGCGTCGAGTCTCAGAGTTTCGTGTTAAGAACGGAAAATACCACGTTCGGAGTCAACGGGAATCATACTCGCGTTTGTTGATTACTATGCTGGTAATTTTGACTTCGATACACACGACAGTAGAATTATTTCTGAAGAAGATGACGTATAAGTCGCGCACGTTTTGGCTCCAAACATCTTACTAAACGAGCTTATAAGAAATGTGTATTGGAAAACCAACTATAGAACTACCAATGACACATTACATTCTACGGTGTAGTGTAAGTAAATACTGAAGCCGAATGGTTATTCAAGCGAGAAAGCTCTATGCATTTGCATATCGGCGATTGATACGTATACGTTGTCGTCTCGATATCATATACAAGCTTAAACTCTCTACTTATACTACCATTAGAAATAAGTTCTTATGTATTATTTTTAGGTCTTTCCGTTTATTAAACAATTTGTAATTGTCTGTGTTTAGCGAATGAATTAAGTGAAATTATATGTATTGTTAAAGAAATGTACTCACCAAACCAAATTTCAAACTGATACTTCATTTTCGACATCCAAAAAGGATCATCTTTGAAACCTGTTGCCGCCATTCTGAAAAAAAGATGTGCGTCCCCTACGTTGAGAAAAGGCAAAGTGAATTGGCCCAAAAATGATATACTTTATGCAGTATAAAGGTGTAACGTCAAATGTTTCATTGAGTAATAACAGGGTAGGCCAAAAAATAGTACGCACTTTTATATGAACTTTTTCTGGCTTTCAATCATGTGGTTTCATGATGATGGTGATTCATTTGGATCAATACATTGGAAAAATCGTTAAAATCTTGATAATTAGGAAAACATGGCACGACTTTAAAACAAACATTAGAAGGAGGTGAAAATGTCAAGACAAATGATCAAACCATTTCATAAGAATTCATTGTTTTGAATATTGTTTCGTTTTATACATTTTCGTAAAAAAATGAGTTTGGGAAAATAATTAGGCTCTTAACATCAACAGACGATTTTATCTGATTTTGACAAGGTATTCAATTTTAACTTCCGGATTCCTTATTGTACCTGTAAACCTCTATCGATTTCTGCATTCGTTATCATTTAAATGGCATGAGAGGATCTCAAATATAAGATTACTAAGTTTTCGCCCACCCTGTATATGGATTTAAATGTGACCTAGTTTGGCTTATAACCAGACACAGCTGGGGCCTGGTAGGTTCCAATTCAAACGTGGACAAGTTTATTATTACAGGAAGGGGGTAATTGTGAAGTGTATTCCATATGAAACTTATTATGTAAAGATAAAAACGGGATCAACAATACAACATTTCCTTGGGAAGTGTAGAACAAAATTCCCCTGGGAAATGTAGTATATTTTATTTTACACCAGCACGTACATCGTTCGTTTGGCTTTCGTTCATCAGTTGTTATATACATGTAGTTATATGTGCTATCATTTTGATACAAGCATTTTGAACATAAACGACAGGGGGACTTTCCAAAAAAATGGCCGGATAAAATTCTAAAAACAATTTAATTGTATCATAATGTCGATCAAAAGTAAATAGAAATGTTTTGTTGATACCATTTTTAAATGAGCCTGACTGTAAAAATCAGGAAAAATTGGAGAAATCGTCCACACGGTGATTTTTAGATTTCCATTTTCTTCTTTATTTTAAAGTGGTAGTTTGTGGTGTTATTGTCAACTTTGAGTATATAATAATGTCTGATAATATCGTTTACCCTAGCATCGGCGTTGCTAAGAAATAAGGGTCAACAACCTGTTTTTGCATGTAAAATAGTCCCAAAATTACCTTAAAAATCCTGTTTTTGCAAGAGTTCTCACCATGCACGTATATCACAAGTTAAATGCAAAATAACATATCAACACATTGTACCATGCCTCAAAATTTTCTTGAGACATTATGTTATCCCGGAAACTTGGTTGCTATGGTAACCAGGGACCTATGAACCTAGAAGTACCAATTTCTTGTAAAAAATGGTATGTTTTTAAGGCCAATGTTCTCAAAATTTGAAAGGAGTTGAATATAATGACAAGTACTACCATGTAGAGAAACACAAATACTACAATAACCGAATATCTTGCATTCATTGATCGACAACTTTAAAATATTCTCCGATCATCTGTATTTTTTGTTAAAAAACAGCGACAAAATGACGGTTTTCTCATTGTTTTACTTTGGTATATTGTAGTAAACAGGAAGACAAACCCTACAAATTTAAGTCAAATTGAGCAAACCAAGAATTAAAAAATATGTAAGGGTTGAGATTTTTCTAATGTAGTTGCTATGGTAACGGCGTCTATGTGTTATTTATGAAATAAGACATATTTTGACCTATGTTTGTTTGATTTTCATGAAATTTGAACCAAATGAAAAGTATTGAAAAGTTTAACTGAGTTGATCACTATATATGCAAATTAACTCATTTGCATATTGATTGTGACGTCATAATAAGATTTTGCCCCATATTTAAGAGATATCTTATATCACATCATACTTTTCATTACAGCATGGTAATTGTCCATTGACATTGTCCATTTAAGTTTTTAGATATCTACACATACCTACTGTATCTTTATTCACAAGAATTAGTTCAAGTATACTCACTCATTATGATGTAGATACAGCCCCCTCCCCCATTAAGATAGCAGGGCTTAAGTTAGGGGGCCTTTTGGGCATTATTGGGCTTTTTTGGCTGATTGTAAATAATGGGCCCTAGATTTCCAAAGGAGAGCGAGTTGTTTGTAGAATGAATCGGGGGATTTTTTTCATGAATTTCGCTTATGTTTTTCATCCAAAAAACATCAATACACTTTAAAACATTTTGTTTACTTTAAGATTACACCATGTAATCCAAAAATATATTTCTCGTTTTCAAAGATAATCCATGGATTAACACCAAGGTATTTTTATTTTTTAAACTTCAGAGGGCTGGGAATCATTGATGCTCAACGCTTTTGAATACGATAAATGCTGTTTTAAATTGGTTTTACGTATGCCAATAATTTCTCAAATTATGTAAGCTGAATGCATTCCATAATCCCTAGAATATTCTCTTGGAGGAATCCAATGGTAGTTCCAAGCAGATTTTTAGATGGCAGGTACGTAAATTCTTTAGTACTCGCCTTATTGGGTTGAGTTAGTTTATATTCAAAAATTATATATGATTCTGTAAAGATGTCAGTGTGGATGCTATATAGATTGCACACGTATGGTAAGCTGTATAATCCTATATTATGTAACACAAGTACAGTTTTGGTTGACATGATTGTGACTGAGTGAGAGATTAAACTCTTTAAGGTAGTTCTGCATGTTGATAATTTTTATTAATTTTGGTGATGAATAAATTATCTGATAATTATAAATTGGGCAAAATTTTTGACATTTTAAGTGGATATAAAGAATTATGGTAACATACACCATGGACCATGCATACACATACAATTACAAATGTGAAAATATTGTCCCTTTCATTGATTATCGGTATTTATAATCATGAAAATTAGTGAAAAATATTGAGACATATCTACCTTAAAATCAGATTGGCTTACAAGTACCCTAAGCTATTTTCACATTTTTATTGCAAGAAAATCTTTTTGCAAGGGTTACAAAGGTTGAAATATTGTGCTGGCTCTATTTGGCTGGAGTTTAATATTCAGACCTAGCTATGTGTGAATTGATTATCAATCACATTGTACATTATAATGAACATAATAAATAAAACCATGAATGTTGTTCATAAATCAAACTGGAATCACAATCTTCATCAACATCAATTATGGATTTAAAGGCAGTACTTATCTATAAGACATAAATTATTGTAATTGTATGATATCGTATTTGTGATTTGAATATACACTGTGGTATTTGAGAAAAAGAATGTTTTGTTTTAGTTTCATTGCAATTTATAACCCTGATATCTTAAAGCCAGAATCCTTCCTTGTCTTCCAATTTTCTAATAGCCTCAGAAGTTCCTACTTT